ACGATAGAGATCCCAGCATTTGCAAAGCGAGCTCCTATAAGTCTAAATCGCTCGAATTCCAAAAGCATCACAAGTGGTGGTACATCGGCAGATGGTGCGAGTGGAGATCCGCAAGTATTCTACTTTGGTGTGTTTGATGGGCATGGGGGAAATGAGTGTAGTGATTTTTTGAGGGAGGAGTTACACAAATACATCGAGTCGACTGCAGAAATATTTAAGCTTCCTTCAAGTTTGGACAAGAAGGCGAAAATTCCCAGTTCGGGCACGTCTGTGGCAAGCAAAGAAGGGCAGGATGATGGATCAGGAACACCGATCTCTCAGCAAATTTCTAATAAAATTAAAGCAATTGAGTTGGAAAAATCACTTGTTTCAGATTGGAAAATAACAGTCGGTGGATATTTCCGCCGCTTCAAACCGGAATATTTCGATCTCCTTGATTCTATGGAAGGAGAGCCAATAAGGAAACCTGTCTCGATCGAAGCAGCCTTAATGTATGCTTTTTTGAAAGCAGATTTAGATTTTATATCAGCACAAGCTCGGAAACCTAGTCCGGATGATAATAACACCGATTCGCCTTTGAATGCGGATGAAATCCTAGGGGAGCCTGCGCGTTATTCCTCTCCACATCGAATTGGAGGGCCTACGCGTTTTGTTGGCGGCTCAACTGCTTCAGTTGCTATGATATCTACTCCAACGCCGACTCCTTTCTGGCATCCATCTTCTCCTTCGACACTGATGGTCGCCCACGTTGGCGATACTCGTATAATACTTTGTGAGACTTTGACCGGGTTGGCCAAACCTGTGACTACCAATCATCATCCAAGTTCACCAGTTGAAGGAGGAAGACTAAGAAGATATGCTGCGACCTTTGTCACAGACTCATTTGGTGAAGAGCGCATGTCTGGATTGGCTAATACAAGAGCATTCGGTGATATGCGTTCCAAGCGCATAGGTGTTTCTGCCGAGCCGGAAATTAGACGTGTAGAGATATCTCCAGCTGAATACAGCTTTTTGGTCTTGGTTTCCGACGGTGTTAGTGGCACATTGAGCGACCAAGAAATTGTGGATGTTGTGAAGGAGGCAAAAACACCAGAACAAGGGGCGAAAGATATTGTTAGTTTTTCCACAGAAGTGAGTAAAGAAGGAGATAATGCAACATGCTTGGTTGTTAGGCTTGGGGGCTGGGAGAGAAGAATTGAAGGTGGAATGGGAAGTATGGGGACTAAGGAGGTTAGAGATTATAAGAAGGGTGACGCGATGGATCCTAGGCGAGCTAGAACTTAGGGTTAATAGTATATATGAACATATAGACTGCATAGCTAGAGTTGAATTGTATATATTTAACATGTGCCCGTCGCAAGTCACTTGTGATTGCTTTTGATTCCCTTTCAACAAATTTTAGACGTGAAAGATTGGCGAGCCCTGTACCAATTCCGGAACCTTAAATTAGACGGACCCCTTACGTCATATTCACATGACATGATTTCATTATTAGTTCTGAACTTCAGAAATCAAAGCATGTCAACAACATACAATCATGTCTTCAGAAGTCGACCCAGCCATCTTAAAAGCTCTCTCTCTCGATCCTTCTTCGGCAACGATATCCAAACATGGCGGCGGTGGATTCGCCAAAACATTCAAGATAAGTGGTACCGTTGATGGAATGCAAAAATTATTCTTTGTGAAGACTGGGGGGACGGATAGTGAAGAGATGTTTACGGGTATGTATGCAAACTCGTTACTTTTTTTCTGGTCCACCAGTCTCTGGGCCAAATTTTATAACTTCTCAACGTTTCGATGTGCATCTCAATCACGTGCTCACAATTCATCCAAGGAGAACACGCCTCCCTCAACGCAATCCACTCCATTGTTCCAAGTCTCTGTCCACAATCCTATGCCCATGGACCCCTAGAAGCTGGAGGAGGATTCTTCCTTGCGACAGATTTCTTGGATTTGAACCCACGAAATGCAAAATCTACGCCTGGTTCAGGTCAATCTCTAGCGAGAAAATTGGCAAAGTTGCATAGTGTCTCTGCACCGATCCCAGAAGGATATCAGGAGCCGCAATTTGGATTTCCTGTTACGACGTGTTGTGGAGAGACAAAACAAGACAATAGTTTTAAGGAGAGTTGGGCGGAGTTTTATGGAAATAATAGGCTGAAAGGGATTGTTGAGAAGGCGGAGAATGATACTGGGAAAGATGGAGAGTTAAGGAAATTGGTGGAAGAGGTTGTGGAAAGTGTTGTGCCGAGATTGCTAGGGGATAATCATTTGAGAGGGAGTGATGGAGAGAAGATCAAACCGGTGGTTGTGCATGGGGATTTGTGGAGTGGGAATCATGGGACTGGGCGGATTGGGGAGGGAGGAGTGGAGGAAGTGGTTTATGATTCGAGTGCTAGTTGGAGTCATGCGGAGTTTGAGGCGGGAATCATGAGGATGTTTGGAGGGTTTGGGAGTGCGTTTTGGAGGGAGTATCATGAGGTTAGGCCGAAGGATGAGCCGCAAGAGGAGTGGGATGATAGGTGTGCGTTGTATGAATTGTGAGTATAGTGATTTTCGTTTTTGTGATTTGTAATTTGTGGGTTGGGAATAAAGTGGATCAAAGTTGCTGATTCGTGATCTAGGTATCATCATCTAAATCATTATGCAATGTTTGGAGGTGGATATAAGGGGGGTGCTATGAATATTATGAGGAGACTCTTGCACAAGTATGGAGAGAAAATTTGATACAGGAATCAGCACTCATTAAGTGGTAATCTTTTGTCACAACGAAGTAACAATATTTCAGATAAAATCTAAAGACATTCAAAAAAAATTTGAAACCCGAAAGAAACATGGAAAGAAAGTTCGCCATGAACCATGTAGCTGCATAGAAGCTGTAACTCTCCAGGGGAGAACGCGAGTGTGGACAGCTTTTTGATTTAAGCAAAATCTATTATCGATATTCCTGTCTAATGCATGAAGTGATGGACACTGAACATGGGTTATTGAGCTATCAGTATTGAAGATCAGGTGATGCTGAATCGTAACCAAGTGTAGTTCAAACCTGGCACTTGGCATTCAATCAAAACTGGCTGGCACCAATGTCTTTTCTCTAAATACCTAGAAAGTTGAGTCAACCAAATGGTAACCGCTTAGAAGTTGTAGTGACCCCCGCGCAACTAAACAAAATTTTGCTCACTTCTGCTGCTACTATCTCCAAGAAACCCTAGATTTTCTTGTTCCTCTTGATGATGCCTGCATCGAATTACCTCCAGACTCTGTTCACAAAAAAATGCTCTACAAGTAGTAGCGGGGATTCAAGGAAATAGCGTTTGTAGGATGTTCTTATTGCAAAAACTATTTCATCTCAAGTGACATCGAACAAGCCACTATTCCACTCTGTTAAACTAAATCTATCGAAGTGTTCTAAGCGGAACACAGTCGTAGTAGAGCAGATTATATTCTCCTCTCACTGGCTTCGTTGGCCTAACAGATTCTTCCATCCATTTTGTTTCGATAAACCCTGAACAGTGCTCGATCTGCTCATTAAAATCACACTTTCCATCAATCGCATTGATTTCATGCTCAAGTGCTCGTGTAATCTTTCTGGAACAATGGAGACAATGTAGAGTATGAAAATGAGAAGAATTGGTATATATGATTGGTATATGCGATTGTAGTTGCCCGATTGCAGGGACGTATGTGAAAGATATTGCCACTATCAAAGGCAGGAAAGATTACAATCGACACACAAAACACTTTAATTGTCACCGGCAGTCCTGGCTGACGAGTCTTGAGGTAATTCTTGACTTCTTCATCGATGATCGAGCATCCTCATTCGTGAGTTTGTCAGCCAGCTCTATTCAAGCTTTTTTAGCACTGACTGTGCCAGACACCTTTCCTGCATTTATCTGTTTCAGATGCTTGATTGATAACAATTGTGGCAGCTATCGGCAATTTGTCGGAATTTTTTTGGGTAATTTTAGCCGTTGTTTCTGCAAAACTCATCCGAGGATTGTTTAAAAACCCGGCTATTTCTGGCGGTTTGCTTCTTGTCTTTCTTTGTTGCCTCCGTCTTTCCAGTCAACCCATACCTATCCATGACAATTCATGGCCCGTGCTTCTCAATACACACACACAGGGGACCACCCTCATTGCACTTTTTGCACCGTAAACGACACGCCCAACACCCGCTGTCGGTCCGCTGTGACATATTGTATGAAACGAATTACAAAAGAAATCTTTAATTATAGGGATCTTTGATAGCAGCTCATGTGTAAGAATAGTGTCATTTATACTTCGTACATTGTATCGTACATTATTGATTGACAACAAAAGAAGCGACCAACACAAGCTGATACAACTCTCTTGAAGAGGCAGGTAGTGTTTTGTGTCTTCTATTGGACAGCGATAAGAACCAAACAATCGGTTACAAATTCATTAGCTGCCAGGTACAAGCGAGATTTCTTTGCGTCTATCAAGCTTCCTGGTGCTTTAGCGAGCTTTATGTGCATGGATCGGATCCTCGTTCGGATAAGCTTCAGATAGCAACTAAATAAACAAGCAGCCATTCAAACACAGGACAATATGTATACTCTGACAACTGCCAAGTGTATTAGTTTGTTGTCACAATGCCGTGTTCATTCACACAGGAGTTGGCATACGGGCCCGCCGTTCTTCAGTGTCGCAGACCTTTCGACTTCACTCTTCTTTTTGAGGAAATCTTTTTCACAATACTCCCGTCATGTCTCTTTCTAATTCTTGCCACTATAAGAGTGTTTATAATTCACAACAAACCTCTCATAGTCCGACGGGGTACACTTCACTCCCTTAAGCTTGTCAGTCAAAGTCCCTCAGATTTCTTTTAGTAGATAGTCATATTATACTCCAATTGGAAGTAGCTAATATATTTAAAGATCGCAGTTATAATCTTCGCGATAATTCAGTTCGCCACTCTAGTATTGATTTGCAGTAATCATGTCAGAACTTTTCTTTCGATACCCGCGACCACATTGTCAATGGTTGCCGCGATTTCCTTGGCGCTTTTGTCGCATTTTGAGCATACGCGTTCATTTTCTCCCTCATTCACAATTGGCTCATACTTGTGCACCACTGTCCTGCTTAAAGCTGTAACTACGCGGACTTATTGGCTCCTTGCCAACACTGACACAGGCTACATACACATTGCCGAGGCGAGTTCGGTTGCACTCCTCATCCAAATTATTATCATCGTTCTTGAAAGCTGGAGCAAGGAACATTGTCTTCTTGAAAATGCAAAAATTGCGGCCGAAGAGTTGGCTAGCTTTGTGGATCGCTCGCTATTCGTTTGGCTTGACAAGCTACTCCTTCACGGATATAGACAAAACCTCACATTGCTTGATCTACAACCGCTTGATCAAACCCTAGGTACATTCCACCTAGCGAATGACTTTCATGACATCCAGAAGCGTCCAAAGCGTGAGTACCCATCTGAGCCATTTCCTCTGATCACCACCCCTGACCTTTCATACCCAGTTAGGCGCTTCGGTCTTCTAGGCATAATTTTACAATGCTCGGGCGCATCCATATTCTTTCCTGTGCTACCACGAATTTGTCTCACTGGCTTCAGCTTTGCACAACCATTCCTGGCCACATCGTTGATTGCGTATTTTGAAAATCAAGGATCCACCACTTTGAATGCGGGGTATGGATTGATCGGAGCTTCCTTCCTTACATATGCTGGAATTGCGGTAGGCAGGCGTATCCGCTCTTTCTGATTAGCATGATGCTTATCGATTTGAATAGATATCTACTGGATGGTATTGGCATATGTCGTACAAATATGCCACAAGACTCCGTGGTGGTTTAATTGCAAGAATCTCTGACAAATTGATGAGGCTCAGGCATGAGACAGGTCTTGAGTCGAAAGTATTCACTCTCGTCATCGCAGATGTCGATAAAATAATCAGTGCTTCCGCATATATACATGAAATATGGGCGGCGGTTCTAGAAACTGGCTTAGCAACATGGCTGCTCTGGAGACAAATTGGACCTTCGAGCCTGACTGTCCTGGCAGTCGCGTTGAGTTAGTTTCCATCACCTAAAAACATGTGTATCTTCTGACATTTCTCTATTAGTCTGTGCCATGGGATCAATCTTTCTCGGAAAGCACCTTGGCAAGGCACAGCAAACTTGGCTCGCAGGCACAGAGAAGAGAATTGCAGCAACAAGGAAAATGCTGTCTTCTCTAAAGGCAATTAAAATGATGGGTGCCAGTCAGCGTGTACGAATGACCATCGAGAAATTTCGGGATCTCGAATTCGTGGCCTCCAAGTCATTTCGTACACTTTTGATCGGAAGTTTAATCTCATGTGAGTGCATCGATACTCAGGCTTCTTGAGGCGTCGACTAACATTTGTCAAAAGCGTACTCCAGTCTCACATTGGCGCCCGTTGTTGCTTTTGGAACATATATCGGCTCCATTAGAGCTACAAATGGGGACTTTAATGCCTCAAGATTATTTGGTTCTCTTATTCTCATCAATCTGCTTGCATCACCACTCATACGCATTTTACAAATTCTCCCGCATTTTGGGGCCGCGCTTGGATGCTTCTCTCGTGTAGAAGACTTCTTTGAGAAGTCAGACGTCATTGACCCCAGAGTGATTGTAGTCGATGGGACCAAGCACGGAAAAGGTGACAGCAAGACTGAGCTTTCAGATGGGAAAGAAGTATTAAACAAGGAAAAGGAAGAATATGCGGTAAAGTCAAAAGATCTTTCAGTATTATCCATGCAGCACGCGAGCTTTGGCTGGGGCACTGAAATAAGTCTGCACGATATAAATTTTGAAATTGCTGCAGGCCAACACGTCGCCGTGACTGGTCCTGTCGGCTGCGGTAAGTCGCTCTTGTTGCAAGCGATACTTGGTGAAGTCGAACTTAAGACTGGAACTATGCACGTTGGAGGTGTAGGCATCGGGTATTGCAGCCAAAATCCGTGGTTGGAAAATGTTTCCGCGCACAAAAATGCATTTAGAAGCGCACCCAGCGACAAATCATGGGAGAACTTGGTTGCTGATAGTTGTGATCTCGGCGGCTTATTGAGTATAGAAAGTTCGCATCAGACTGTCGGAAGTGGTGGAGCTAAAATAAGTGGTGGTGAACGCCAGCAAATAGTAAGTCGCTCTCTTGCACGAATGAGACAACGGCTTACAGAGTTTAGGCTTTAGCACGTGCGATTGCAACTCGACCTGCAATCTTACTACTAGATGACGTTTTCAGTGCTATAGATAAAACTACAAAGACTTCTATGCAAGAAAAGTTGTTCGGACGGAAAGGTATCTTACGCGAGCAAGGAACTACAGTTGTTCATGTTACTCAAGACCGTAAGCAGGCCTTTGACGAAAATTATGCCATCTCCTAATCCTCTGTAGAACAATTCATAGAAGCTGCCGATATGGTTCTTCAAATAGACGGTGCAGGAAACCTCCAGCAGTTGCAGCCCGTAGCTTGCACAGTTCAGTCCGCGCTGGAAGACAAAGTTGAGGGGAAACCAATCAATGCTACAGAGTCCCGCCCTGGTCCTCAATCCCGATTGAAAAGTAATCATGCGAACCCAACTAAAATCGCAGATAAAAGGGTCTATCAAACGTATCTCCTTTCTATCGGGCGTTCAAACATAATCATCTTCTTCATTGGTGCCATCATGTTTGCCTTCACTTTTAGGTTCCCAAGTAGGTTTTTTTCTGAGCGATTACTTGAATTATCATATCCACTAACAGAAATAAGATATATGGGCAGAGTGGTGGTCTGATGCAAGTACTGGTAGCTCGACAAAAAGCGTCGAATACTGGATGGGTATCTACGCATTCTTAAATCTGCTTCCACTGGTCACCATAAGCCTTTGGGCGGCGTGCGTTTATCCCTGGCCTAGAAATGCTTCTAAACTAATTCATTGTAGTCACCTCATGCTCATAATTATTCCAACTTCAGGTGTTGGATTACACGGTAAACTACTCCGATCTGTCCTCGATGCACCTTTCACCTTCATCAGCACCATCGATTCCGGAAGCCTCATAAACAGGTTCAACCAAGACCTTATGCTTGTTGATACCCAACTTCCATTCCAACTTCTGAACACTGTTTCTGGATTATTTGCCGCCATTCTCCAGGCAATCTTGATTACCATTTCTGCTGTTTATATCGTTGCTATCCTTCCTGTTCTGGTAGCTGTGCTTTTTTTGATCCAAAACTTCTACTTACGAACATCAAAACAACTGCGACAACTTGATTTAGAGTCTAAGGCTGGCTTCCACACAATGATCGCAGAGATATATGAAGGACTGGTAACGATTAGGGCCCATGGCTGGCAGAACACCATGCAAGGGGAGTTTTACGAGAAGCTGGACAGATCACAAGAGCCAATATATCTTCTCTACATGGTACAAACTTGGCTTCAGTTGACGCTGAATTTAGTAGTTGCCGGACTTGCAGTACTAATGGTTGGTGTGGCTATTGGTTTGCGCCACAAGACAAGTGCCGGAGGAATTGGAGTAGCATTTTTGAATCTGGTGAGTTTGGGAGAATCACTGACACAGACTATTCAATCTTGGACAGCTTTGGAGACGTCTCTTGGAGCTATCGCCAGAATTGAAGCCTTTGAGCAAGAAACACCTGTAGAGCCAGAAGTTGCATCGCCAACTGATGTACCCATTACGTGGCCAACTTCGGGTTAGCTGAGTTTTGAAAACGTCTGGACAAGCTATAATCTAGATTTAGAAAAGCCTTCGTGGAGTTTACGAGCAATAACTTTGAAAATCAACTCCGGTGAGAAGATTGCGATTTGTGGTCGTAGTGGTTCTGGAAAGTCGACTTTGTTACTATCTCTCTTGGCCCTGATTGAAACAACAAAAGGTACCATATATCTTGATGGTATCGACATCTCAAAAGTTCAACGATATGTTTTACGATCTAAACTCCATGTTATCTCGCAAGACGCGTTCACAGATAGAGAAATTATTCGCGATGCACTAGATCCGGCTGGAAAATTGTCTGATGAGACCATCAACGACGCCCTACGTGATTGTGCTTTGCTGAACAAAATCAATGCATCAGGATCTCTCTCTGCCAAATTGGGTGATGTAAATCTATCGGTTGGCGAAACCCAACTTTTTGTCCTGGCCCGAACTATTCTTGGAATCGAGGACTCTAATAAAGGAGGTGTCGTACTACTTGATGAAGCCACTAGCAGGTAAGAGACCACCAATTTCATTGAAAATTAGTGGGAACTAACAGACTGATAAGCATTGATGTCGACACTGAGCGGAAAATAATGAATATCGTCGCCAAAAGACTGCAAGGAAAGACCGTGATCTCAGTTTTACATCGCCTCGAGGCCGCTGTTGAATTTGACAAAATTTAGATATTGGAGAAGGGCGAAGTGGCACATTTTGGACCTCCAGAAGAGGTTATTAGAGATTCTGATTTATTTTCTTCTTTTAGAAACGGAAGTTGAGCTCGGAAGATGTTGTGTTAGCATACGAACAAAATTGTATCTCTTCGACATTTGTAGTTATTATTGAGCGGGCCCAATATTTACTCTTTGTCCCTCAAGGTAGGTTGGGTTTTTGCAGAAGAACTATTGTAGTTGATTTTGAGTGATTCAAGACGTCCAAGACCGCGAGGGAATTGGGCTATGAGGATTACTAGAGAGATTTATTTCGTATTTCTATAGCGTAGAATGTTGTGGGTAACCTTGCCAATCGAGATTTATCATGAGTTAACGTATCACAATGAGCCATTGGGTGAAATAAAAATGCTGCCACTAAAACAACTTGCAGAGAGACTCGCCAAAAGCAGTGGGGTTTCCTTTAATATTACTGAAAACTACAGCGACGCTCTATCAAACCCAACTCAGGGTATCCATACTGCAGGAAGAGCTCATACTCTAAGTGCAAGTTGAAATGTAGTCCATGACTTTTCGACTTCGTGCATCAATTCCCTCATGATAAGACGGCGTGAAGCTTGACAGCATTCACCCTTCAATGAACTTCCTAGGAATTTGGATTGACTGGACTCGCTACTAGGTGGGTCGGAAGTGTAGCGAGACTGGCTTTATATGTAGGCTTCTCTCTCTTTCACTTCACCTGCACTTTTGCACCGCGGATCGCGCTGTGAGCGAGCCAACCAAGTTTTCAGTGGTGACCCTGTGGCTCCAAGACCTTCAGACGTCAGTGAGATCTCAGGCTTCAACGATCATCTCATATTTTCAAGGACCGAGTCCCGAATAACAGCCTTGGGCAGCATTCCAAGTACACAGAATATTTTTTTTGTCTCGCCTGCTTTAGCTCAGAGCTCGATTGAAAAGACACAGCCTCAAGAATTGAAGCCAAAATCTTTCGAGTCTGGATCGCCACTCACTTTGAAAATTACATCTCCCGGGTCTCTTGACTCATTCTATTTTCCCAGGTTGAAAACCCCAACAAACCACCCACTGGGTCCAATGGAGATCGACATCAAAGTCAAATCAGCCAGTGTCAACTTTCTTGATCTGCTCACGACCCGAGGACGTGTCGACACCCACAGACCCATGGGATGTGCAGGTGCAGGTGTGGCGACCCGAGCCAGCTCAGGTAGTACCCTCCATTGTTGGTGCCGACCGAGAATATCGATACTTCGATACCATTCTACGAGTACTATGTCGATTCGCTGCTTGTCATGGAGCTCTAAGATTAGTTTCGAGGAAGTCGAGAGCTAATATGACGATTTTTGACATTATAGGTTCTGCGAATCTCGAGGCTTTTTGCTCACTTGTGGTGCAGAGGAGTGGACTCGAGCCAAATTCTTCATTGAACGAGACAGATGGAAAGAACCTTTTTGGAGCGGAATTCTTCATGGGGGAGAGAAGAAGACAATAATGCATGTACAGGAATAGCCTCTCCGTGCGAAGTTCCCTTAGCAAGATACTCACACAGTAGTCCCGAACTAGATTGGAGTATAGTTCACGTGCTACGCAGGAGCTACTCTGTCATTTCGTTCCAATATGGAAATCTTGCCGTTTGGCTGCTTTCATTTTCAAACATTGTGACGATATCATATCATCAACTACCATCACTGTCGACACCGACACGATCATACCCCCGTCATTCGGTGATTGATAGAATGATTCACTCTTTAGTAGTGAAACCGTGCCAATAACGACCTCGGGACGAAGAAACCTCGTTTATTTGATGGAAGTAGGTAGATATTTTGCTATTAATTAAACTTATTAACTTTGGGAATAAAATATAACAAGTGACTACGTATTTATTATCAGATATCAAAATCAATAAACTTCGTCATTTGAAACTCACCTGTAGATAGGTAATAATTATAACACATTTATATACATGAAAAATAAATATAATAGCATGTTTTAAAAGGTCATTTTATATAGGCAGGTAGGTGGTATTGGTGAGTTTCGGTTTCAGTGATTTTCCCTTGAACCTGGGGTCACTTAGCCGGGATTTGTTTCTCGAGGACACTAAGGAATCTGGCATATCTTCAATTTACAACTCCCCTCATCAACAAAATACTTCACGCCACACATCCTTCGAAGGTGTGAAATCTTAGGAAATTCCTACAGAATCACTGTCGCATATGGCTCTATAGCATTTTGATAACATTCACCTTAACAATCACGATAGCTAAAAACGCGTTCTCCCTTTCGTCTGTTTACGCGTAGCATTCAACTTTGATTTCGAGATGGCACCCGAACAGTCCGCATCACCGCCAGGAAGGCGGAGAACAGGTGCAAATAGGGAGAATCAATATTTGTTTAACTTAGGAGTCAAGGGAAGGTTAGTGGTTAATTGTTATTTTGTTTATACATTATTAAAATAGGATTAGGAAAACTGGTGTTGAACTCCCAGATACTGGAATTCGCGATGCAAATGGCTTGGAGCCAATGGATGATTTATTTTCTCCCGATAAACCTGAAAGTGTTAAGACTGCTAGAAGCGCAAATGGACCACGGAGAAACGCGCTGGAAGACGCGACAATATCTAGTGAGGAGGATATGGATATGGATGGAGAAAGTATGTTTACATAACCAGAAACGCGCCAGCGCGATTGGCAATATTGATGTTCTTCTAGATACAGCCCCGGAACCTACTGAAGTTTTGAATCAACGAAGACAAGATGCGCGATTGGCTCTGCCTATACCGAGATCGAGGTCGCCTTTAAAAACACACCTACAGTCGCCAGCCCGCAGGCATCCATCATTCGGCATATCTTCCCCCGCCAAAGAAGCGTCTAGTGAAGCCGATAATACGGGTCCTGTCCGACGAAAGTTAGATTTCTCAGCCGAAGATATAGCAGTCGAAAGGAAACAGGCAACGAGTGCTCCCAATGGACGAGGAAAGCCAGGACGCCCAGCACTAGGTAATCTCACGAATGGCACTAGACTGTCACCTGGCAGACGCCCTCCGCAAACTTTAAACCAGAGTAGCGACGGTATGGAGAATCAAGACGACAGTGCATTGGAGTTCGAAGATGATTCAAATCAAAACAACGCTCCGGATGACGATGATGACGATGCTGTTGTCGATGCGCTCGAGGGAAACTCAGACTTAGTAGAAGAGTATGAAGAACAAGAAGAGGAAGAAGAGATCGAACGAGAGGATGAGCCAGAACCGGAACCTTCCCCGCCCAGAAAAGTAGCAAGTAAGAACAAAGGGAAAGGGAAAGGGAAAGTGGTTGAGGAGCCAGAGCCAGAGGAAGTACCGGAACTAGAGCAGCCCGCACCAAAACGCAGAGGCAGGAAACCGAAGAATTCGGCTCCACAAATCGAACCTGTGGAGGAAGAAAGAAAGGAAATTAAAGAAAGACCTACAAAGAAAGCACGACGATCCGCAGAAGCTGTCGAAGCACCCGAACCTACAAAGAAAAACCCTGGAAAACCTGGAAGACCGAGTAATGCCTCGAAATCAACCACTGTACCCAAAGCAGCGGCGAAACCGAAAGGTCGACCAAAAATGGCCCCAATATCTGAGGTGGACTCGCCTCTAGTTCATCGTGGTCCCCCTATTCCCAGGAAAAATGGCCTCTATATTCTTCGGCGCGAAACCGCATTGGGTGGTACTGGTATGCTACGAACAAGATCTGGCCGCAACTCAATGAAGCCTCTCGCATTCTGGAAGGGTGAACACGTCGAATATGACGATGACGGAACGGTGCCAGATGGAACCCACGGTGCAAAGATTCTGTTACCTAGCATTAAGGAGGTTGTTCGTGTAGATGAAGTAGAGCAAGAAAAGCGTTCGAAACCGAAATATCAAAAATCTAGCAAAAGCAAATCAAAGAAGAGGGCGCGAGAGGAATTGGATGAAGATTCGGAGACAGAAGAATGGGAATCCCAACCTGGTCGCATTGAGGGCTCAGTACGAATATGGGATCCGGAAGATCAAGTTGGAGAAAATGCTGCAGAGAAAGTGGAAGATGTCGCTTTTTCGTCAGCTGCAATCAAGACTCGCGATATTCCAAATGCTTCGTTCAAATTTGCCAAAACCCTTACATTGCCCTTTTTCGGTTCAGGTATGGTTGACCTCGAACCTGGCGCTGTCAAGAAACCAAAGAATTCGAGGAAGATGCAGATGGTGTTTTTTGTGTTCTATGGCAGAGTTGAAGTTTCGGTCAACGAGACGACTTTCAGAATCGGCAAAGGTGGACAGTGGCAAGTCCCTCGAGGTAAGCATCAACTTCACTAATTACTCATTTACTCAAATACTAAGACAATGCAGGGAACTTTTATAGCATCACCAACGATTACGACAAACCAGCGAGAATATTTTTCGCGCAAGGTTGTGAACTTGGAGATTCGGAAGGCGGCGCTGCTCCACCTGCAAGTCAGTAATGTACAAATAATGTAATTGGTGTCTACTTGTTTTCCCTCGTCTTTTTGCAACTTGTGCTTTCACGTTTGTGGTATGACAGGGTGGAAAAATGGGCTTATGTTCTCACGTCTGGCTGGGGAGTTAATTGTTGAAGGTTTTTTGATGATACCATGCTTCTTAATCATCGTCAGCATTGTCATATGGACATCAAGTGCACTGATATGTCCATCCTTTGGGGTGTCTATGTAGCGAATGAAGGGATTTTACCCAACTCTAGAAACGTCTCACAACGTAAATGCCTCGTTTATTTTTATAATGACATCATGCTAGATTGGACGTGAAATTAATGGGTGCAATAGGCGGTGTTGGGGTGTTAAAATCAACGTGTAACCATGACCTGAGCCCCGGGAGTTGTTCGCTCGCCAACCCCTGTAGACTCATGAAATAAAGTAATGTACGCGAAATCATCGCGAAACGCGTCTTCCTCAGATTCCCAATCAAAAGAACGCCAAAATCGACAAACTTTTGCAACTTACCAGAATCAATTCAAATATGGCAGACTCCCAGATGGAAGTAGATGTTGCCCTTGAAACCCCCGCATCCGATGTATTCATAGCCCCCTCGATAAACCAATCTTTACTACTATCCGGTGCTTCATATCAACATTATTCAGATGTTCCTCCGTCACTTCTTCCTATACCCAATACTGATGCTTCGAAACCTAATGCGCCTCCAGCTCCTGGCCCACCATGCGCTTTAGGAATTGACGAAGCTGGGCGTGGCCCTGTTCTTGGCCCCATGGTATACGGACTATTTTATTTACCATTACCTCTCTCCGATCCTTTGCTACGAAATACACATCATTTCGATGATAGTAAAGTCCTTACACCGACCGTTCGATCCGAGCTTATGGAGAAACTCTGCACGCCAGGTTCAGATCTGTATACACAGTGTGGTTGGGCGGTCGACGTTATGTCGGCGAGAGATATTGGTGCCAACATGATGAAACCGGCAACATACAATCTGAATGCCCAGGCTATGGATTCTACTATCGCATTGATTCAGGGTGTGATGGATAAAGGTGTCAATGTGAAGGAAATTTATATCGATGCATTGGGAAATACAGTTACATATCAGAAGAAATTGGAACGGATCTTCCCGACAGCTCAAATCACAGTTGCTAAGAAGGCGGATAGTTTGTATCCATGTGTGAGCGCGGCAAGTGTATGTGCAAAGGTTACCAGAGATGCTGCCCTAGAGTCACTTTATGAAAGCTACGTGAATGAAGACGGGGATCATCAGATGGGCGGAACGGAAGAGGACAGTTGGGGCTCGGGATATCCATCTGATGCTAGAGCAACTGCATGGCTAAAACGCAACATGGATCCCATATTTGGATGGGGTAGTGAATGTCGTTTTAGTTGGGGGACGACGAAAGACATGTTAGATCTCAAAGGGATTGCGGCTAAAGTCGATTGGCCAATTGAGGAAGACGACGAGACGAGTAGGTTAACGGATTTCTTCAGTGCGGACAAAGATAAGGATACGGATGAGCTGGGGTCATGGTTTGGAAGCTCAGTGGGAACGGAAGTCTTTTAGGATAGGTCTTTTTGCTTTGAGATCTGCTCGGCGTTTTGGTGGGAGGCAAACATGGAACGTTGCCATACCTTGGTGTGAATACATTGGATTGGCGTTTGAATCGCCTTGTAAAGTCGAGATGGAATTGCTTTGAATTGTTGAATACGGTCCCACGGGTACTGCATACACACTGCCACAGGTGGTAAATCAAAAATCAAAAATCAAAAATCAAAAAAGAATCAAAAAACTTAAGATCCTCTAAACTTTCTAATGACATGAATTTTAACACTTTATAATCTTTCGATTGAGAAGCAACATCTGAAAACATCATCAATTGATACAATTGTCATGTTTCAAAGACTGCGAGTTGTGAATATTGATATTGATAGGTAGTTCTGTTTCCTTGGCGACAACCAATCAAAGATTTCAGGGTAAGTAGGAAGCTGGAGCCTGTAAACATTAGCGCAAAACTTAATTTCTATCAACAGCTTCAAAAAAAGTCGCGTCTCTACCAAAAAGTTATAAGCTTATTCTAAGCTTTAACTTTTTCCCTTTCCAAGAGCATTAAATTGCGCTCTTTCTTGATTTGTTATCACTCATCAAGAGTTCTTTCTTTTCCCTTTAAGTTCATCTCAATTAGAACTTTGTAACGAATTGGAATCCGTCAATATGTCGCTCTTCGGGAATACGAATCAAAACAAGCCATCACTCTTTGGTGCACCGCAGACAACAGGAGCGGCTACAGGTGCGAGTGCAGGAGGTCTTTTTGGTGGTTTGGGAACGACTGCGACTAGTCAGGCGCCATCATCGGGAGGAATGTTCGGTGGAATGGGAGCTACAAGTCAACCACAATCGACTGGAGGCCTTTTTGGAACAACAACAAGCCAACCTCAATCAACTGGCGGCCTTTTTGGTGCAGCTAAACCTCAACAACAATCAGGGACAGGATCCGGTGGTTTATTTGGAGGACTTGGAGCAACTCCAGCAGCAACACAACCACAACAAACAGGCGGTCTCTTTGGTGCGACTACACAACCACAAACTACAAGCAGCACAACCGGAGGTCTCTTTGGTAATTCTTTGGCACAACCACAACAGCAGCCGCAACAAAACACTGGTGGACTTTTCGGAAATACTACCACACAGCCCAACCCTTCAGGATCAATGTTCGGACCTACTCCACAAACTCAACCTCTCTCGCAATCTCGACAACAAAATGGAACGAGCGGTGCCTATTTTGATGCTATATTGGAGAAGAGTCGTAAGAGAGCACACGATGAGGATTCTTTGGGCTTACAATTAGGTTTGGGGGATATTCGCCAGCGCATGAAGAGACTGGCTCCTAGTACCCAAGATGGCTCTGTCGATGGACGAGCTCATTATCTATTGGCAGCTTCTGGCGTAGATCCAGGCGCTGCGCTCAGAGATTTGAATTTATTCACCGCTGCCACGGGAAGACTCGATAGGACAGCGCCTGCAGAAGCACCCGTTGATGCGGATGTCGAAGCATACCTTACACGCCTGGAAACGCAAACCACAATGAGCATGATATCTGAAGGGCTGGCACGATCTGTTCGAGATTTTGATGATTTCCTGGAGGAGAATGTTGCCATGGAATGGAGCGCACAACGCAAGAGAATATACGAACATTTTGGAATTAAGCCCAGAAGAGAACAGACAACGGGGCCATCAGTAAGCTTTGCAGCTACAGCTACAGAATCTATGGGCGGTTTTGGTCGATCAAGACGCGGCAAAGGACTTGCTCCTGGAGCATCTAAAGGACCTGGAATTCCGCGGGCTAGTGTTTTTGGAAAATCAAGCATGCAGAGATCTGTCATAGGAGCTATTACTCCAGGCGGAACCGCAAACCGCACACTATTTACCGATATAGAGAAAGCAGATACGAATGGGTCGGCACCAGTTCCAAGTGACCGATTTATTCGCGAGAAGCAGGCTCGATATATCGAGAAAGTCCAGAATCTCAATGGTGCTAGACTAAAGAATCTTCACTTCCCAATTGCGAACGAATTCTCAACTGTTGTGGCCCAAGGTGGTGAACAGCATTCTGCAGATGTTTACAGGGCATATAGGTGCTTGATGGAAATCGTTGGCGAAGATCCCGACCCGGACAGACTACAACTCCCTGGCGCCGTCAAACAGAGACAGTTTGCAGCTGCATACCTGGATGACAATACAAACTCAGCTCAAGCGGCCGATTTGAAAAAGCGGATACTCAGTGGATCACTTCGATATCTTGAAAAGGAATTTTTCGAGAACGTAGAAACCATTGTTGCCAAAAATCCCAGGGAAGCACTTGTGGGTGGTAAGCCTAGTCCTCTCACAAAAATCCAAGGTTATGTTCGTCTGCGCTCAGCCCGTAAAGACCTTGCTACAGATATCTCCGCTCTACAAATTGTCAATGATGATTACGTCTGGGCAGTTGTCTTTTATCTCCTAAGATCTGGCCACGTTGAGGAAGCCAATGCTTATGTCCAAGGGAATAGGGAAGCATTTAGAGTAATTGACCGAAGCTTCATGTTTTATATCGCAGAATATGCCAATAGTCCAGACAGAAAATTAAGTCATGATCTTCAAAATCGTATTCAAAGCGAATACAGCCAGCGAAATCGAATCTCCCCTGAGGGTTCTATCGATCCTTTCAGAATGGCATGCTACAAGATAATCGGTCGCTGCGAACTCCACGTTCGCGCTCTGGATCAAAACATTGTCCAGAACCAGGATGACTTTGTCTGGATACAATTTGTCCTTGCGCGCGAAGCCAACCGAGTCGATGAAATTGCCAGCGATGCATATGGACTCGCCAATGTACAAAAGACTTTCAAAGATATTGGTGCCCGTATGTTTTCCAAGGGAAATGAAAATAGTGGACCATTTAGTGTGTACTTTGTGCTGTTGGTACTTTCAGGCTTATTCGAAGATGCAATCGACCTTCTTTATCGCCATAGTATTTCTGATTGTGTTCATTTCGCCACGGCACTTGACTTTTACGGTTTGCTCCGAGTCTCAGATCCAGATGTTGCGGAGGGTGGATTCTTAAGTTACACAATAAGACAGCAACCTCAGATAGCATTTGGATTAATGATGGGATTTTACACTGCAGAATTCAGAGCTGCTAATGTCAGTGCTGCCGTGGATTATCTCACCTTGATCTGTCTTAACAGTGACCTTAAAGGCGATGCTGGTTCAAAACAAGTCGCATTATGCCACGAAGCTCTCCAAGAGCTGATTTTGGAAAGCAGAGAATTTGCTTTGTTGCTTGGAGATATCAGACAAGATGGAAAGCGTCTAAAGGGAGTTATCGAAGAACGCCTGGAACTTATCAATCTCAGCAGCGCGGATGATTTCATGAGAACAGTTACGATACAGGCGGGAAGTGTCGCGGACGATAATGGGCGAACCACCGATGCAGTCCTACTTTATCATTTGGCGGAAGAGTATGACACCGTCGTTAGTATCCTTAACAGAGCCCTTAGCGAAGCTATTGCCGTGCCTGTAGGCCATAGCCCGTTGCGATTACAACCACTCAAGCCAAGGCCTGGAGATAAATCTGGAAGAGAGGCCCACACCAGTCTCAGTCTTACGTCAATTGATGATCCTTTCGAATTGGCTACCATCATGACGAAGCTCTACTCAAATAATCGCATGTATCTCAACAAGATTAAGCAAGAGAACCGTGCAGCTTGCGAGGCTTTGTTGAATATCTGTCGTGCCAAGGAATTTGTTGAAAACAGACAATGGGCTGAAGCATTAGATGTAAGTTTCGACCTTTGACATGTTTAGATCGTAAGCTAATTTTATTTTCACTATAGGTTGTCCAGAATCTTGACATTCTTCCCTTGAGCGCCGAGGGCAATCCAAGTGCAGTACGAAGTTATGCCACCAAATTTTCATCGCTCTCCCAAGAAGTTGCAAACACTATCCCTAGTCTTTTGACATGGACAGTTTTGTGTTGCAACAACCAAAGAACTTCCCTCATGAATGCCCAATATGGAGGTAATGAGGGTACCAGACGACTGATGATAAATCAATTGAGACAACAAAACATGGACTTGACGACTTATACTAGTCAATTGAGATACAGATTTCCTGCGTCTCTTCATGAAGCTCTTGCGAGGGCTCAATCGGAGTAAGGGAATGAACATATGACATGAGCTTATAAGCTTGAATGTATATTAGAATAGCACAGTGGGAAGAGATTGAAAGAGCATTTTGAGTTTTAATTTGGATGGAACGAAATGAAAACATTGGGGTCTGTCTACTACTTTTGTAGTTGATTTTTACCGTTTCTCATGAGCAAATGCATAGATGAAGAATGAATTGTGTTGTTTATTAGAAGATTAATTATGAGTGGTTAATGAATATAGAACATCGAGATTTCGCTTTCAAATATATGACCAAAGTGATGTTTTGATTGGTACACCTATGCGGGAATGAATACTAATCGGGGCATCTCCCCGTGTTATTGCAAATACTTCTTCAGAATCTTCACTAGAAAGTAATCTGGGAATTGTCCGTCCCCTGATTGCTTGGTGACACCATGACTCTCGCAGGGGATTATTACAATGTTTATATGGTTTGGGGGCATTGATAGCAAGCTCGTGGCAGGTTAATATGAAAGTTGATATCAATAAACCCCTTATGGTAGATACAAGCGAATATTTACTAAATAATAGCAGATCAGTGCATACGGGTTCTAGAATAACATAGCACAACTACGATAGCTATTCTGTAAACGCTCAAAAGACCATGATATGTAAAGATTTGTCAAATGTAGATAAAGGTTATATTGCTGATCACTTCCGTAATGATTGGCATTCAATTAATATACCTAGTAAGCTCTTTCCAAAATGATCTTTCTTGACATCAACGTTCCCGGTATTTTCCCAGATTTTCTCCATTGTTTTCTCCGAGCTTTCATATGTTTGTTTATTCTCCTCAATTTACGGAGTACATGACTCGAGCGAACCCCGATATTCAAATGTACATGACGATATATATATGAAAGAACCCCTCCATCCCTCGACCCCATTTACTTTACCAAACGCGAAATAAATACTTGATGTCTCTTATCTATTGCTAGCAAGACGAATTGTGCTGTGTCTGTTCTCGAAATTTAGAGCATTAAGATTAGGAAGTCCCACGGAAGGCCGCATCGCATGCGAGAACCACGGGTTCTCGCAGATACAGTATGACACCTGATGCAAATGCAACTCAGCAGGGATCTACATCTCCATCGTCCGACCAGCGACATGTGAGCGTCGCGCATTCTACACCGGGTGATCGGGAGGAGGGCGAAAATGTAAATGCAACGGGTGATGGTGGGGAGGGAGGTACTCCGGTTGAGCAAGGCGAGGGCAGTGTGGGTGGAGGTGGAACTAGTGGGGGGGAATCGTCAAAGAAGAGAAAAATCCCGCCAACGGAAGAGAGGAGGTCGAGTGCAAGAGGAGTTGCGAATTTAACGCCAGAGCAGTTGGCGAAGAAGAGGGCGAATGATAGAGAGGCACAGAGGAGTATAAGACAGAGGACGAAGAATCAGATGGAGGGGTACGAGAGGAGGATCAGGGAATTGACTAGCCAACAGCCCTATCAGGAGTTACAGCAAGTAATGCGACAGAAGGAAATGGTAGAGCAAGAGAATCTAGATATCAAGAAGAGGCTATCGCAGGTCATTGCACTTATCACACCAATACTTGGTGCTCATGGTCAGTAAATGGGTTTGTGACTCAACAAATTCGCAGAAATAGCTCAGCAGATAGCTAACTTTGCGATGCAGGATTCGAAATTCCTCAATTACCACCGCAGCCAAATTATCCTCCGCCCAATCGACCAAATTCCGCGAATCGCAATGCATCGACGCCTAATAGTATAGCCTCTCCCAACACCGTTGCCGGACCCTCATGGCCAGCTTCTTCTGCATCAATGCCAGTTGCCCCTACGCAAGATTCCAGACCCTTTATCCAATCTCAGCAAACTCAACAATTAGCACAACAACGACATGAAATGGCACATAATCTTGAATTGGGCCCGGAAAGACTTGGTCTAGATTTTCTTCTCGACGAAGGACAGCGTGGGAAGATACCCATCCCTCCTCCTGGTCCACTAGAAACTACTGGATTTCAGCAAATGCAAAGACCAGCTGATAGTATGAGTCCCATACACCAGCGCAACAATTCAACAGCTAGCAGTACAACGAATTACAACACTCCAAATAATTCTTCGGGCTCGGGTTCAGGCTCGGAAATGAACGGATTTAGCGCTCCTATCCGAAACGGACCTCCTACATGCCCTCTAGATAGTCTCCTTCTGGATTTCCTTCAAGAGCGTCAGGCCGCCGCTCTCGAAGGTCTACCTACTCCTAAACTCGTAGGACCAGCCTATCCATCCGTTTCCAGCCTCTTAAACCCTTCTCGTGGCATTACTTCCCACCCCGTCTCAAAGGTCTTCACCGATATCCTTGCCACATTTCCCGACCTTTCTACTCTCCCCGAAAGAGTAGCAGTGCTCTATATAATGTTTCTCTTGATGCGCTGGCAAATTCATCCCAGCCAAGCAAACTATGATCGTCTCCCCTCCTGGATAACTCCTCGCCCTTCTCAGCTCTTCACTCCGCATCCAGCATGGATCGATCATCTCCCTTGGCCTAAGATGCGGGATATTCTCGTTAGAGACTACAATCCGCGGGATTATCTATTTGATAACTTTTTCATTCCCTTTACCGGTACATTGAGTGTCAATTGGCCGTATGAACCTACAGATGCACTTCTAAATTCTGGGGGTGGGAGTGGGGGATCGGGTCTGGGGCTTAGTGAAGAGGGAGAGCTGTTGATTAATCCGGTTTTTGAGAGACATCTGAGACGCTTGGAAAATTGGAGTTTGGGACCTCAATTTGCGAGTGCGTTTCCGGGATTGAGGGATACGTATCGCGTTAAGATGGAGGGGGATAGAAGGTAGTGGATAATGGAAAGGTTCTTGAGGTGGAGAAGATTCTTGTATAAATATATTTTTGGAGTTGGAGTAAGGGGTACAACAGATGAATGGGTATCAGATTGGCCCATCGTACATTTTAGCTTGGGCGGCAAGGCAAGTATGAGGAAAGGGAAGGGGTACCATGAAAACGGCGTACTAGATTTGTGCAGGTGTCTGTACGTTTCTCGAGAAGTTTTAAGAGTTGGGGTTCGGGTGGTATGTTGGAAACGGGAGTGGGAGTGGATATGGGATTTGGATTTGGATTTGGATTTGGATTTGAATTGAAATATGCATGTTTGAACATGTATACGCGTATACGAGTATTTACAGGCGAGAAAACGAGAAAATGAGGAAATGGTTGGATAGAAATACATTGGTATATACACATATATATTGATGTGATAGTTGGATATTATTCCACCTTTTTTATTTATTTTTATTTCACTGAAAAGGGTAGAGATGAAGATATACACATACAGATGGCAAGGAGATAGACACGGAGAAGGGAAACGAGAAATGGAAAGAGAGGGGGGGGATTCAAGTATCGGGATTCCTAGATGATAATTATGAGGTGTGGGTAGGTATCTAGCATTTATACGAGTAAGAATAATCAGTCAATCAGTTGAGTAATTAAGTAATCAAAAGAAGTTGAATAATGAATGATTGAGTTCTGAACTCCCAATTGCTTGCTTGCTGGCTTGCGATGATATCTGTAATGAATGAATCAATCACTTTCGAATATTTACCTACCTACCTCCCTCCCTCCCTCCCTCCCTCTCTACCTACAGCGAGATCATATCATATCATATCATATCATATCATATCATCATATCATATCATATCATATCATATCATATCATATCATATCATATCATATCATATCATATCATATCATATCATATCATATCATATCATATCAAATCAAATCAAATCATATTCCAGATTCCAGAAACAAGAAATGAGAAATGAGAAATGAAGAACAAATGAACGTGTGCATAGCTGCAATAGTAATGCAGTACGAATATAGAATTGTCTATCTACCTAGGTACTAATAGAAAAATGGAAAAATAGAAGGAAAGTAAAGTAAAGTGAAATGAGATGAAATAAAATGAGATGAGATGAGAGGGGTAGATCTCTTGTAGATGAATTGGTGTTGTTAGCTATTCATTTATGTATTTGATATTTCGATATTGTGGAGAGGAATTAGATTAGATGAGTGTAGAGTCTACATGTGGGAGGGAGGGAAGAATGCGTGTTTCTATTGGATTATCTGAGATGAGAGTGAGAGAGTGAGTGAATGTCAATCTTAGATTTTGTTCAAAGAATTGAAGTTGCTGAGTGATTTCTATTCATTCATAAAGTCGAGATGATGCTACCTAGTAGCTACAGTTTGTTTGAGCTTGGGCTGGGCGGAGATGCAATGAGATGACCGCTGATTTCGACATCTATCACTTTCTTTCTTCACATACTCAATTTAGGGGGAGCGAAACTTGAAAGGAAGACTATCTATTCTAATGTCGTAATGTATTTCTGCAGGTCCTATGCAGAAATACGCTAACCTATTACCCAACTATCTACCCTCATCAATCCTAACCATCCATCCCAAAGTTTCATTCATTCGTAATCAAAAGTTTTGGCTTTTCCCATCAAGATAATTTACTCGCTCCAGCCCTCAATTGCTTCATCAACTTGGTCTCTGTATACCTGTTGAGTGTTGCACTGCTCAAGGAATACCTTGTACTTAACATCCAATAACTTCTTCTCATTGGCGTTCTTTCCTGGTCTGGTTACTTTGCCCGGCTTGCTCATTCTATCCATGATGCTCCACAACTCTTCTGTCTTGCCCTCCTTATCTGCACTGGCGGCTTTAGCACCCAACATGGCGGCACCGTGAACGACAGCTGCGTGTACATATCTTGGGATCAGAACTGGCATAGCGCATGTAGTAGCCATAAGTTCCATTAGAATCTTATTCTGGCATTGGGAACCCGACATGAAGATAGAGGTGATGGAGTGACCGGCACTGTTCATGGTTTCGACGATTTGGCGGGTTTGCATTGCAATAAATTCCATGGTTGCGTAGTAATAAATGGCTAGACCGTCCATGCTGCGGTCGTTGGTAAGACCAATAACTGAACCAGTCATCTTTGGGTTGGCAATCGGTGAACGGTTACCCCAGAGATCACCGTAGAAGAAGAAGTGACGTCCAAGGTATGAGATGGTTGGAGCATTTTCCTTCTCCTTCAGTTCCTCAAGATGGGAATTTAGGTAATCGTAAATACTGGTGTTGAATGATTCTGCCATGGACATGGCTTCATTATATGCTGGATGAGTCTCCAAGACGTGCTTGAGAAGTTCACCAGTCGCAGACTGGCCACCTTCTGCCATCCAGTAGCCAGGAAGCAGAACGTCTCTGTAAGGGCCCCAGACTCCATCTACGAAGACAGGTTCGCGAGACATAGCCAAATGACAGGTGGAAGTTCCAGCTACAGCTGCAAGACGGCTGAATGCTTGGGAAATGTCGTTCTTGGGTGCTCCGGTATCGAGATAATCTTGTCCCAAGTTAACCTTTGCACCAACAGTACCAATCCATCCGGCATAAGCATCAATAACACCACTTCCGATAGCAATTCCAGCTGGGAGACCAAGTTCGTTACCGGCCTTTTCGCTGAGGGTACCAACAAGTTCACCGGCGCTGAGATACTTGCCGTTCTGTACGATTATGTTAGCGTTTATTCGGATGATTGAAAATCATAATTCGCAGTTAGAAGCGGGCTTACTACTCCATCTACTCCTCCCATTCGCTTGAAGTTATCTTTGGTTAGATCACCCAAACCAATAGCTTCGTAGAAGTCCTCTTGCCATCCCTTTACACTTCCATCAACACCAACTGGGACAAATCCTTGCTTGCAGACAGTACTGCAATAGGATCTGCTTTCATTTCCAGTTGCAATATGCGTCAAAGCATCTGCCAAATCATAGAACTTGCAGCGGTCAAAGAGCTCAGGTGGCATGTTGTTCTTAAGCCATAGAACCTTGGGGATTTCCATCTCAATGCTCATCTTTCCTCCAAGGTATCGTAGTAGATTGTGTTCTGTGTCGTTGATTTTCTTCGCCTCTTCGACTGGTCTGTGATCAAGCCATAAAATAACATTGCGGTCATTGCCATCGTTTGCGAAGTTTGGACCGGTGACAGGTACTGGTTCGTCGGTATCTTCTGAGAATACTGCCAAGGAACAGGTAGCATCGAATCCGATACCACGGATTGTTGTTGGATCAATGTTGTGTTGGCTGAGAGCTCTTTGCACACACATGCAAATACATCTCCAGATGTCTGTTGTGGATTGTTCATAGTATCCAACTTCCGGTTGCCATAAACCAATGTTTTCTGTAGCCACTATTAAACGTTAGGGCCTGCTATAATGTATTCTCGGTGTATAAAACTTACAGGCCTTGATATCTCCTGAAGCATCGATGATACATGCTCTTGCTGATCCAGTTCCAACATCGATTCCGACTGTTTATCACAAAAATTAGCCAATGTCAACGAGTAAAAATGATCTGAGTGTTAAACGTGGCAGAAACGTCTTTCGAGTGATTCTGGAGTACGGATTTGTTAAGAAATTTGAGGAAAACTTACTGAAATGGTCTACATGAGGGTTCAAATCGTTATGTGGACTATGGTCATGTCAGTATTAGATGCCACCCATTCTTGCCATTGACGCAACAATTGGTGTTCATTCGACCCCCAAGCTTCTCATTTTTCAAATCAATTCAATGCACCCTATGAATTTATATTTCCATATCCAATTTTTGGGACTCGATTCGAAATGTTCAAGCTTTGGTTGGGCCCTGAACAAAAGATGTGTTGGGCATCCACCACATCCAATACCCGAGCTCGGCACAACCATTTGAACATGCCAGGTAACGAATTGAAATTCTTGATAAAAGGAGAAGTACTCACTCCATACTCGCTTGACGCGATGGTCTAAAAGATACATAATCAGTACAAAGATCTAGTAATGCGCGAATACAAGCAGTATTGGCGTAAGAACTTTTGGAAGGGGGATATGAATCCACTTACTTCCTGTAGTTTTGACGGAAAGGCAAGTGACTCATGATGCCGGTATTCGTATTCAATGCTTTTGTCTATTTGTCTCTACAATCCTGATTAGTACGTGTTACGACGTTTGACGTCCTTGGTGGAAGCTATTTCCATTGGATATGGCATAGATTGTTGAGTGTGCCAATAGTCTCAAGAATGTGAGAGCTGGGCACGGCGGGGTAAAGAGGGGGAATACGGACATCAGTGATATAATGTGGGAGGGTTAACGTAAATCTGATTCTCTATATTCAAAAATATATTGATATGATGTCGTCGCGGTGAGATAGGCAGTTGAGATGTGAATGGTATGGTGGTATGAAGGAAGAAAGAAAAGAGGAAAGAAATTTCTAATCTATATTGAAAGTCCCTGGTAGTGTTCGTATGGTAGCTCACGATGTAGACCTCTCCGAAGCTTGGTCTCCTCTCCTGGTTGGAAGCTCCAGCTTTTTTATCGTCATAGGACCCCACTTTCATTTTTAACCCTCCTTCCCCACTGAAAAGCGTAAACCTACCAAATAGAGTATAGAATGGCTCACCGTCTGCCCAAACGGGGAAACTGCAATTCTCATGAATCTCCTCACTGGACCCAAACCTTATCGTGGCTGTAGCATTCTCCAACCATTATTCTAGACTCCAAGCTAGAATTATTAGTATATAATACTCGAGCGTACTCGAATATTCCCATGTTGTGAGATTTAAGATTTATGGAATCTGGAGCTGTGTGATCTTGAATAAAGCCATAACAACAATATCAATTCTATGGTATTAATCTCTCGTCATCAAGTAGCTATCTGGGTCTGGGGCATTCACGATCTGGTCTCATGGGCAACAAAAAAGGGCAGTCTGTCAATCGATTGTCACTTAGACCCACCTCTTTGCACCCTTCGTGCAGCATTTTCAAATCCTTCACATTTCTGGTGGCAAAAAAAAACCATGGCAAAAGGGTACTGTAGAACGCAGATCGGGGCTTGTCCTTTTGAAAACGAGGTGAGGATCGCTCAAGCGGAAGCACAAAGTTCAAAATTCGGCAACTTTCCCGGCTTCCTGCAGTTCGGATCGGGCTACTAAAAAGGGGAACTCCGAAATCGTGAAGCTTCAAATCGGCTCGAGAGGCTCGAGGGGGGTAAGCTAAAACACCAAATATGTTTGAATTGATATCTCTTCGCTCTTCATGCTGTTGTACTGTACAAATGCCATTCCGACCATTACCCAACCGTCTACTTCCATAACTTGCCCAAACTGACTTCCTTGTCGTCATGCTTGTTCAATACCTTAGCTGTCGCCAAATCGAAATCCTCTTGAGTGACATGAACTCTGCGTTCTCTCAATGCGTACATTCCAGCTTCCGTGCAAACACCCTTCAACTCAGCTCCTGAACATCCGTTCATCTTCTCCGCAATCTTGGTCAAGTTGATACCACGAGTCAGGTTCATGCTGCGGCTGTGAATTCGTAAAATGTCGGCTCTGGCCTCAACAGTTGGAGGTGGAAACTCGATCTTTCTGTCGATACGCCCTGGTCGTAATAGTGCCGGATCCAAAATGTCTAGACGATTGGTAGCCATGATGACCTTGATTCCCTTGGTTGGCTCGAAACCATCCAATTGATTCAGTAGTTCCAACATAGTTCTTTGAACTTCAGAATCACCACCTGAAGATCCTTCCACACGCGAAGATCCAATAGAATCGATTTCGTCCATGAAGATGATGGATGGAGCGTGTTCTCTGGCCATGACGAATAGCTCTCTGACCATTCTTGAACCCTCACCAATATATTTTTGAACCAATTCAGAACCAGAAACTCGAATGAATCTACAGTCGGTGTGATGCGCGACAGCTCTTGCCAACAAAGTCTTTCCTGTTCCCGGAGGTCCGTAAAGAAGAACACCTTTAGGTTGTGCGATACCGAGAGATTCGAAAAGTTCCGGGTGCTTAAGACCAAGCTCAATAACCTCCTTGATTTCCTTTACTTGTTGATCTAAACCACCAATCATATCGTATGTGCTATCTGGGACCTTTTCGACCATCATGAGGGAAACGAGAGGATCGACGGATGATGGGAGCATCTTTTCGAGTTTATAGGAATCCGATAGAAGGGTAACCCTCTTTCCAACGGTAAGTTTTGAAATATCGACACTATCCGCAATATCGACGACTTCATCCCAAATCAGTATTGTGAATATCTATACGTCTGTGATAGATTCCATACCATATTTGCCTTCTGGGTGCACCTTGACCAACACCTTCTTTGTGCCCATAACCTTTACCACCTCACCAACATAGGATCCAGGTTGTTGTAATAAACCGAGCTCCTCTCGTAGAAGTCGCACTAACATGATTAGCTGCTACTCTTTCTTATGCGACAGGATCAGCAAAAGTACCTCTTGAGTTGTAGTCATTTCGCTGAGCTTCTAATCTTCGTAGAACCGCTTGACCTTGAATGATTTCGAGCTTCATGCTCTCAATCTTATTATGGAAGAAGCTATCCAACGCCATGATGGATGAGTTCGCGGGGGATGAGGTTGGAAAGAGGAAACGAGATCTCGAATGGTGATGGAATTATGGGTGGCTCGAAGTTTTGTAATGTTGTTGTTTCTTCAAGGCTGATAAATTGTTGATTTATCCTAAGGTATCACAAGTGTACGTCTCTCGTCTTGCTGGTATTGTGCACAGTGCACACACGAGGCTAGGACGCTAAGAATCTCGGTCGGGTCAAGTAGGCTCGTAGGTAAGCTCATAAGGTAAGGCTTACACTTTATTTTTCTAGGTAGCAAGCGTAGACGCGTCGGATTCCTTCCTTCCTCAGTTCCAAGGTTGACAAGTTCAATTTCACAAGTGCATAACTTCATAACTTCATAACTTCATAACTTTCCAACTTCATACCTAACTCCCAAGGTTCACATTCTCTTAGTAATATGTAGAAGCTCGAATCAAGCTAACGAACCTGGAAGCTATCCACAAAGTATCACCGGCGGATATTTCCACCAGAAGTGGGATTATCAAACATCCCCGTTTACGATGTATTACTCGCACCAGAGAAACTTTTGATACAAGGAAGCCAATCTAATCATTCATCGTGCACATCACAAATCATGACGGAAATGAGAGACGGGAGACGGAGATTTTCAATTCTTAAATCTTGCCTAGCACTACAGAGTATGCACTCCAGACTCCAGATTTCATCAGGATCCATATCCATATAGTCTGGAGTGACGGGAATGATGAAAAGATCTATCTAGATAGATACATCCCTAGGTATTTGATAGGTGTTGTCGATAAGTGGATAAGATAGATATCTAAGTACAAATACATGTAGCACATCATAATCATATCATGACATAGTGTATATATTGATGTACGATGTATGAAGATTAATAATAATATCAACAATTGTTTGAGTGGGCGGAGGATGTATGTACAACTCAGCACACGCCAATGAAAGACCAGCTTACTAGGTAGGTCCTCACTTATTACTGTCATCATTGCACATGAAAACGTCCTTTCCGTCTTGTCTTTCCTTGTCTACTACCATACATGCATATCGTACATGATCAAAAGATGCCTTGATCGTACAGACAAGCTCATGAAGGACTTTCTGCTTCCACACACACAATTCAGCCAAACATTGGAAAGTACGATGTAATGTAATGTATCGTAGTAGCATTCCATTCGATAAGAACCCCAAGAATCAAACTTTATTTTCCACATCCGCCTGATCTTTTTTTTCTCACAGGATGATTCAAATAAATTGTTGCTACTGTATCTAAGCACAAGTCGCAACCCAAGCGCCGCAACCTGGAGAAAATAATATAACAATTATAATATTTCTCATCATCTCATCTTCTCATCTTCTCATCCTCTCACCCTCCCAACTTCCTTCCCTTTCCCTTTTCTCTCTCTTCTAAATCTCTTAATAGTTGAAGATACCTACTTACTACAATCACATACATCCGTAAACATAATATCATTTTTCGATCATTCACTCAAGACTTTCTCTCATATTGAATGCATCACCATCTGCTTACTCCTCTCGTATTCTTCGCATGTTCAAGCTTCCACAAACGCGGGAACTAACAATCATACTAACCAAAGGACTCAACTTAATCCAAGCCTTAAGCTTGTTTCCATACCCGATGTGCGACTGATCGCATCATACTCTTTGACTGGTTGGCAGATAAAATTCAAGTCGGTGTACAAGGTTCGAGTTACAAAATGTCTCGAACTCCCGGCGAGTCTTCAGAATCTGGGAAAGATACTCAAGACACAACTCCAACTCCTTCCGGCATGTCAACACCAACAAGTCCCACAGATACGCGGCATCCATTATCAAGATCTATCTCACAACAAAATGATGGCCTGGCCGAAAGTTTTCAGTCTACGGACACAATTCGACGGAGACCAGAAAATGCAGGAGGATATGGTACGCCACTCTGAAATTTGCCCGCACATCAATTTCCACCCTTAGCTATTGTTTGTTACAGGTTTGCTAGATTATAGATTTACTAATGCTAAGTATAGGGACTATTCAATCGACTCCTCAGACTCCACAACTTGTCGACGGCCATAGAAATAGCGAATCGTCCATGACCGGCGAGCGACCCCAGCCTGTCAGTTTAGAATCTTCACGATCATTCCAGCCAGCCAGATCTCCCATGCTAGGACCTTCCGATCGCGGTCGAGCAGGTCAGCGACCAAAGAAACCTCCTATGCCGCGTAGAGCCTCATCGAACGTACAAGCGCCTCATAGAGGGCAAGAATTCTCGGTAGATGATGATGTGACTGAGATGGAAGAAGAAATGAACAAGCAACAGGCGGGACTTGGAATTGGGGGTATAGCATCCGGGTTTGGACCTTCCAGACATGGTCCTGGAACCGTGAGGAGACGACCTGCTCCAGCTCAACCAACTTTACCAAGACTAGATTCTTCCCACGAAGAAGAAGCGGAAGCGGAGGCTGAAGCTGAAGCGGCGGCCTCCACCAGTGGTGAAAGGACAAAAGATGATCAAATGACTACATCGGGCGAAGATACTTTGCAGGGCGAAGATGGTATCGCAGAGGTGGAGGAGGAGGACGAAGATTCCCTAAGTGATGCGGAAAGTTTCACACTCAAGGATCGTCAACAAGCAATAAACCAAACCCATCCTTTCGGTATAAGAATCTGGAAGCCTGCCCTGTATAAGAAGAACCGTTCAGTTCAAAAGACAGCAGAAGGCGATATCCATTCATCTCCTGGTGGTCGTGTCAACAAGTGGCTGATCTTCTTCAACATCATCTGGACACTAGTTTTTGGTTGGTGGCTGGCACTTGCAGCATTGACTGGAGCATTGGTATGTTTCGTCTTCGGAGCAGCGCCGAGTGCTATTGCATATGGTCGCGTTCTCTTAGATCTGGCTGGCTATCTTTTCTATCCTTTTGGAAAATTCGTTCGACTCGAACAAGACGAAGCTTATGCTCACGAAGATGAAGGAGAGGGCCGTACCATCACGGAATATGAACAATGGCAAAGTGGAGATATTGAGGATGGGAGACTATTCTTTGGGCCTCATCATCCACGATCAATCGTAGGCCGATCACGGAGAAGCATTGACTCGTTTGGTGGTAGCGAGACGGATAGTTTACTCGGTCGTTCAAGACGCGGTACTCATCGAGAAGATTCAGCACGCCCCAATAAAAGAAGACTTTTTGGAAGGGGTCAGTGGAATACTGGGCGAGTTATTTTCTTTCTATTCTTTTACGGACTGATCACGCCACTACTTTTCATCGCCTCTGGTATATGTTGGTTCCTTGTCTTTTGGATCCCCATGGGTAAGGTTACAATGCTACTATTTGACCACCTACGTCGACATCCCTTAGCTTTGTCTTTCCAGTCAGATTCGGCATATTCTCGTGGATCTATTCCAAATTCTTCGATCCTCGTCTGCACATACCGCGCCGTGGGCAGCAAGTACTGGAAATATACAGTAGACGGGACAAACATTTTCTTGATAAATCTCATGGCTGTCGTTTTGTTCGTCATCTTTGACTATTGGGTTCTTCTGGAGATGCTTCACATGAAAATCACAATCACTCACCCGGCATTCTTGTTCACTATGGCCCTACTCTCCATTATCCCTCTTGCCTACTTCATAGGACAAGCTGTAGCTTCTATTTCTGCTCAATCATCTATGGGACTCGGCGCTGCAATCAATGCTTTCTTCTCTACGTTGGTAGAGGTCTTCTTGTATTGCATCGCTTTGAATCAAGGTAAAGGGCAGCTTGTTGAAGGAAGTATTATCGGTAGTATTTTCGCTGGTATATTGTTCTTGCCTGGTTTATCCATGTGTTTTGGTGCCATCAAGAGGAAAACTCAACGTTTCAATGTTAAGTCTGCTGGCGTGACTTCGACGATGCTACTATTTGCTGTCCTTGCTGCATTTGGTCCTACTCTGTTCTATCAAATATACGGAACCGTAAGTTAATGAATATCTTCATAGCCATGTGCCCCTCGCTAACTACTATGCTCAGCACGAACTTAACTGTCTCTCATGCACCGACACGTATGAGTCGACAAGTCGTGATTGCCGTCGTTGTTATTTTTCACAATCGCCGGCATTGAACGACAGATTTTATCTCGAAGCTGTCCGCCCATACTGCTGGTTTGCCGCAGTGCTTTTGTTTCTTTCGTATGTCATTGGACTATGGTTTACTCTTCGAACTCACGCGGCAGTCATATGGAATAATGAATCAGAAGATAAGCAAAAGCCGGAAGTCAATACTACTACTTCCCAGCAGCATTCAGGTGGCGCCCCACAAACCCGCGCGCAACGACACGCTCAGGCTGCTTCCGATACTCGTGGAAATGAAATTCGGGACTCTCAACTATATAAACGCATCCTCGGCCAGTCCTTAAAGCAAGCCGGCATCAACCCTAAGGACTGTACTCCCGAAGACGTTAATCAGAATGGTTCAGTACAGACACCTCATTTGGTGCCACCCAAGAGTGCTGCAGGTGATAGTACAAAATCTGATTTTCAAATACCGGGATTCACAGAGGCTCAAAATACGACATTTGTTCGTGAAGTAGCTGAAATGGCTGCAACCGCTGCTACAATTGCTGCTCGAGATGCAGCCCGACCACCTCATCGAAGGGCATCTACTGCCCATGCGCACAAGTTGCCTCCTTTGAGAACAGCTGCTGTGCATACGGAACCTGAAGAGGCTGTCAACGCAGAGGCTCATGCTACAAGTGGTGGTCATGATGCGCCAAATTGGAGCCGAATGAAGAGTTCAGTGATCTTGTGTGGTGCTACTGTTCTTTATGCTCTCATTGCAGAGATTTTAGTCAACACAGTCGATGTAGTTCTTTCAAATGTAGCAATTGACGAGAAGTTCCTCGGTATCACATTATTCGCACTTGTTCCGAATACAACCGAGTTTCTTGTAAGTATCTTTACTCTCAAGCTCGTATGCAAAAAGCTAACATGAATTGTCTAGAACGCGATTTCATTTGCAATGAATGGCAACATCGCATTGTCTATGGAGATCGGATCTGCGTATGCACTCCAAGTATGTCTACTACAGATTCCGGCACTGGTTTTGTTTAGTGCCATCAACGGCCAATGGTTAGAAGGTTCTGAACTCGTCGATAAATCTTTCAGCCTCATATTTCCACAGTGGGATATGGTGACGGTCATCCTTTGTGTGTTCTTGCTAAGTTACATGTATGGTGAAGGAAAGAGCAACTATTTCAAAGGTTCTATTCTTCTTCTTAGTTATCTAGTTGTCATTGTCGGCTTCTGGTTCTCGGGAATGACGGATCTCGAAGCTATGGGCGCAAGCCGTTTTGATATTATGGAATCAGGAGGCAGTTTCAAAACTATCGGGAGAGGCAAGTCAGGACATGCTTTTCAACAATAATGATTCTCTGTAAAGATTTACACAGAGTTTACCGGGGAAAATAATGATAGGATCGGGCGGGGTGTTGGAGATGGATGATATGATATTTTGCTTTTTCGTTCTTCTGATTTTTTTTTTTCTTTCTTAATGTTGCCTCTCTTGTGATATCTTTGAGCGCCGGCGTTGAGGATATGGCCATGGTAGCAACACGCGAGATTTCAAAAGTAATCTTGTGAGCGTTGATACCATATTACATTTTCCTTGCACAAATTCGCCTTTTTTTTTCATATGGAAAATCTGCTCTGAAGAGCTCATTTATGGCAACGTAGATAGTATGTTAAGTCCCATCTGTACAAGTAGTGGGCAAAGATGAGATGAGATAAGATGGGCCGAGATAAGGGAGCTAGAAAGTACCTAGGTAGATAAATCAGGTACATGAATGATTTAATGTGTATCTCCGCTTACTACCGTTGAGAATGGGATTTTTCATACACATGTATTGGTGACACTTGAGGTGAGAATGCATTGTTGATCTCTATATATACATATATTCATCTCCGATATGGGTATTATTAACATGACATGACATGCTACCCCACCGTGAGCACGACACCACAAACTCCGATTAAGAGCGAAGCTAAATTCCGTTGGAGGTTCAAAGTTGAAGATGAATGGATGGATGTGATTGATGTGATTGATGTGATTGATAATTTGAGATGAGAAGGGAAGGGACGGATGGAGCGTGGGGGTGGGAGGTGGGGTGGGTACTCGATATCTATATAAACGTCATCGGACTCCGCACTTGGGTTTGTCTTGTTTTGTCTGTTTTGTTTTGTTTTGTTTAATTGAAGGATTGTTTGTTTGTTTGTTTGTTTGTTTGTAGAATTGAGGAATAATAAGGAAAGATATAGAGATTAAGAGAAAAGGAAAGGAAAAGGCAAAGGAATTGGAAAAGTTGAAGATAAAGATAAAGGGATTTGAAAATTATAGATCTTTTAAGTTTTGATTGGAAATATGAGGGTTTTACTTACTGGTATGTGGTTATCTACTTTTCTGATATGGGATCTTTTTGTCTTCTGTGGGTTCGGGCTTGGGCTTGGGTTGGGCATGGAGGACGGAATGGGATAGAATGGGATTAGGTGGCGATACCGCGTTGTTAGGGATGTGTATAGATTGGGGATTTGTTTGGTTGGGACTTGTGGATTTTGTGTTTGAGAGGGAGAGGTTTGGAGGTTTGGAGAGAGTTGAATATTTGAAGTTTCAGATATACTCTCTTCCTCTAATTGCTCAGCTATTCTTCATTCTCCATCTCCTCGTCTCTCTTTACCCTATTCCCTCAGCACGTATCGCATCAAACCAGAAAACTAACATTTTTCACTCCATTTAGGTGGATCCGGTTTCATCGCCGCTCACATCCTCGATATTCTTCTCTCCCGCGGTCACACTGTCATCACAACCGTCCGTTCTCAGCAAAAAATCGATGCTATCAAAGCCGCCCATCCGGATGTTCCTGCTTCCAAATTAGATTTCTTCATTGTGGAAGATATTGCAAAGGAAAATGCTTTTGATGATTGCTTAAAGAAGTTTGGGGAGGGATTGGAGGCTGTGTTGCATACAGCTAGTCCGGTATGTTTGTATTTTCGATTTTTAGGGATGGGAATGAGGGTTTATGGTGGAGAGATGATTCAATGTGAATGTGATATCATTGAGGAGAAAGACACACTGACATAACCTGAAGTTCCACTTCAACGTGACCGACACCAAGAAAGACCTTCTCGATCCCGCCATAATTGGTACAACCGCGATCCTTCACGCTATCAAAAAGTTTGCCCCCTCTGTAACCCGCGTCGTGGTAACCTCTTCCTTCGCCGCTGTCCTTGATGCCTCGAAGAGAAACTGGCCCGATCACACATACACCGAAGAAGACTGGAATCCCATCACCCTATCGGAAGCGGTTGAAAATCCATCCAACGGTTACCGCGCTTCCAAAACCTTTGCCGAAAAAGCTGCGTGGGAATTCGTCGAGAAAGAGAAACCCAATTTCACACTTAGCACTATGAATCCTCCTTTGGTATTAGGTCCCATTGTGCATTATATGAACTCTCTAGATGCGTTAAACACGTCTAATCAGCGCGTGCGCAATCTCCTGCAAGGGAAATGTAAAGAGGAAATACCGGACACAGGAATATTTATCTGGGTCGATGTGAGGGATTTGGCATTGGCGCATGTGAAAGCGATTGAGATTGCGGAGGCGGCGGGGAAGAGGTTTTTCATCACGCAGGGTTATTTTAGTAATAAGGAGATTTGTGAGATTATTCGGAAGAATTTCTCGGAGTATGAGAAGGAGTTGCCGGGGAAGGAGGTTAAGGGGGGTGATTATCCGGAAGGAGGGGTTTATAAGTTTGATAATGGGAGGACGAGAAGTGTGTTGGGGATCGAGTTTAGGGGGTTGGAGGAGAGTATTGTGGATTTGGTGAAGAGTTTGAAGGAGGTGGGTGTTTGAGCCCTTGTGAGGAGGAGAGGGGGTGGGTGGAAGTGAAAAACGAGAGTTAAGATTGAGATGGGAAGAAAGGGGAAGGAAGTAGGGAAGGATCACAGAAGACGAAGACCAAGATTAAGAATACAAGACAATTATACATATATCATTTTTCCCCTCCCAATAAAAGATGGACAATCCCTTTGATTGAATCAAACAAATCTCCCTCTTTTCTCACGTCGTGTTGTAATCCATCATGAATACCATGATCTCAATCCCACACTCAATACATAAATAAAGATAACCCTCAAGTCTTCACATTATACTATGCTTTTATACTCCAGCTAAATTTTCAAACAGAGCCTCTCTCCTCTCTCCTCTCTCCTCCTCTCTTCTCTCTTCTCTTTCACAATATAACAGAACCTGTATCTGTATCTGTATCTGTATCTGTATCTGTATCTGTATCTGTATCTGTATCTGTATCTGTATCTGTATCTGTATCTGTATCTGTATCTGTATCTGTATCTGTATCTGTATCTGTATCTGTATCTGTATCTGTATCTGTATCTGTATGTATCTATATCTATACCTATCTACACAAGAATCCAAATTCGAACCCGAACCCGAACCTGAAGTATAGATATTATTGTATATAAGATTACAACGGATATGATTGAGATTGAGATTGAGATTGAGATTGAGATTAAGAATAAAACTTGAAATCTAAACTTGAAATAAGAAGATAATAAGATACCCAGATACCCAGATACCCAGATACCCAGATACCCAGATACCCAGATACCCAGATACCCAGTACCCAAATCACAATAATCACGATAATCACAATAATCCAAGTATAGCATAGGATAGGATAGTATGGTCTCGATTATAGATTTATTCATCTTAGGTTTATAGATTAACCTTTTTTGTCGTGATGGAACTTGCAATAGCATAGAGATTGTGTATTTGATATGTATACTTTCGAGGGGGTGATGAAGAAGAAGAAGAAGGTTATTAGATGGATTATTGCAATTTTTATTTTTGTTATTATTATTATGGATGTTATGATTATCAATTTAGACATTACTAGGTAACTATACAAAAAGCAAAGACGAATAATATCCATTTCCCACATTTCAGAATTCATTGTTCAATTCTCTTGTCTTCTTCGTTTCTTTCCAACGCCAACGCCAACGCCAACGCCAACGCCAACGCCAACGCCAACGCCAATTGTTGAAGATATGTTGTGACTATGATTCTCTTCATCTTTCGAAAATTGCCACTTCGTTATTCCTACTCCACTTTGATATTTTCTGGATCGATTTTCCTGTGGTCGAGGAGACTGGGGAGGAGTCCTCCAAACCGATGGGTAAGGTGTTCCTTTGGTTAAAACTCCATACAATGTATCCTTTGTGATGACTATAGATTATAAAGTCATCATCGCCCCACACAGCTCCCTTGTTGAATTCATTTGACGTTGTAGTTGCTTCTATGTCGATGGGTAAACAGAAGGCGGCAAGTGCGCTCAAGCCGCTTGCTGGAGTAAAGTTGTGCTTTCCCACACATTGCGGATTCTTCTTCGTCGCATCGCAGATACTTGAGGAGACTAGAGAATATGGCATCTTTTCTGTGTCGGGCTCCAAACGCTCGGCGTACGTACCGGCGTTTCTACTATCGTATGGAACAGTAGCCCGACCACGCCAAAACAACGGGTTTAGAGGAGTAGGGACGGGTTCCAGAAACGGCTCGAGGTGAGTTGAGATGGCTCCAAACTTTTGAGTTATGAGGTTGAAGGTCATGAGGAAGTAAGCGCCAGCATTTGTAGCTGATGATATATCATGGTTACAAGGTGTTCGATGAATGGAAGCTCTCTTTTCTGGCGAGCGAATTATTCGTGAAAGAATTGCAACAACACCGTCGTTGCTAATGATTTGAAACTTGAGCATGGTTTTCACGAAGCATGATCCAAGCACTTCATTCCACTGTCCTTGTGGTACTCCTGCGATGTATTCTTGAACAATAATTAAATCTCTCCCGGTTTCGCGTGAAGTTCCATCCAAGGGTGAACAAGACGCGTGATAGAATAAGAAATGGTGATTCTCTTGAGTGGGATGGAAGTAGATTTCGCAGAACTTAATATCATAATTAGGGTATAAATCGCCGAATTCCGGAAGGGGAAGCTTTTTGACGTGGCCATCATTCCAGACGTAAACAGGGTGATCCGAAAGACTCTTATCACCGAAAGCAATCTCTTTGTTATGGGCGCCCAATATCTCATAACGACAGTCCAGATGAATTACCTTTGGGTCATTTTCTTCATCAAGCTGCCATACGTTGAATCGTGGTTTTCTGTACACAAAAACTTTCAGTATGAAACTCTTAACATTTTCCCGTACATATAAAGCATGTGGAAGTTTGGATACAACTCTTGAAAGGGATCATTGACTTACGGACTATCAAAATAGGCTACGAGAATTTGATCTGAAAGTAACCAATGTTCGAAGCTATATCGAGACTCATGCAAATAGCGTCTTGAAACATGTGTACGGAGATCATTGACTTGAATGGTGCTAGGATCCTCTCTCATTGCTATTCTTCCGTTTTTGTATTGAAACCTCCTTCTATAACAGCTTTCGTGGCACCATTTTGAATAGAACCTGTCGTTGTTTGGGTCTGATAAATAATCGTAGTGCATTATTTGATCATACATGCCACGGTCTCTCTTAAGTCGTCCGGTACACATGCCAAGGAAATCATCAACCTTTAGCTGCCTGTTATTATCTTGCGATGACTTGAATTTGATCTCCCAAGTTTTACGAAAGTGGATCTTGAGTAGTGACGTGCAAAGCTGTTCGCTGGACAATTTCGCTCTCCAGTACTTCGACACGCAACGCATAAACATAAAGTCCTCGAGATCGAGATACTCCATGACAAGCACAAGAATCTCGGCTGGTAATTGAGCAATGCCATCATAATAAAATTTCATTCGATCAAAATGGGCTTTGAGTAATCGCATTTCTCCGAATGTCAAGGTTGAGCTATTGAGGAGATATTGTATTCTATAAAAATGTGAGCATACATCTCCCTTTAAGGACATCTGCAAATGATATAAATTTTCTAGCCCCCATCACTTGACCAGATTCCGCACTTGTCTTGATGGTATAGGTAGTAATAAACTGCTTGACTTACGCTGATGTGCGTAACTGAACATCTGGCCTGCCATCTTCGAGTTTCATGCCGTCGAGGGCCTGGCTCAAATCATTTGCCATGATGAAGTGTTCAACCGATGAGATGTAGGATGGTCTGATTAAAAGAGTTTCGTGTTAAGTATAGTGATGACGATATATGAATTGATAGGTGTATGAGATTGCTTGGGTGTCTGAAATATATTGAATATCTAAGAAGATTGAAGTGTCAAGTGTCTTAGAAGTCACAAATGCTTCCCACAATATATATATATATATATATATATATATATATGTATTGTATTTGACACTTGAGAACTAGACAAGCTTTAAATTCACGAACTATCGTTGAAAATTTTTCTAGACGAGTATCTATTAGCTAGGCAATCATACTAATGAGGTACCTATAGCTAGAGATGTATATAAATGACGATGAGGTGTCATACTAATGAGGTACCTAAAGCCACTTAGGTGTAAATCAATGACAATGGGGTGGTTTAAATCACGTGCTAGACTGCACTAGTCGTCTTAGTGGTCTTGGCAGTCACGTTCACGACAGCCACAACAGCATAACAGCCACAGTTGATTCCGAGATCTCCAAGGTTGGCATTTTGCTGGAAACGGATGATGGAAATAGTATGGATGTATGTATGTGCGTGCACCTTACCATCTTGTTATTTCTAGGTGTACGCATACCAAGCTCCGGGAAAGTTTGAGTTGAGGATATACTATGATATTAATATCATCAAATTGAGATTTCCGAATATTGAGCTACAGGATTATAAGAGCTCTTGAAGTTACTAACTTATTAATGTGTTCAAGGTATTGGCACTTCAATCTACATCACGTTCATTATTATGTTTCGACCAATGTTTGACGCATAGCCCCTTTTCAAACTTCAGGACGGTCGTTCAAATCAATACCAGTATCACCGTCAGCCCAGGGGCTGTTGGACGAGCACTGTATATGTCAAGTACATGTAATATCAGGAAGCAGCTGAATCAAACCACGCAACCAACGAGAATGGCAGAAACATTACGTCCTGTTACGAATGAATTGATGACGGGAGAACCACTCTCCACATATTACCGCGCCAGAAAGATGTTACACGATTGATCGAGATTTGAATACCTACGGCTCCTGATACTTCCGACAAATATACTCTATCTCTGATATTGGGTGATTGAGAATTCACAGGCTTACATATGAGTTCACATGGTACGGTGTATGAGAGAGGTCCTTTCATAGGTATCGATCTCATTCGGAGCCTTTATTTGGACCTGCAGAAGGTTTAGCACGACATGTAAAGTACCTTCCTAGGTAGGTATCTAGTTGTATCGTTTCACACATGTGACCGAGTTGATACCTGGAATGAACTTCATTTTGTTCTAATTGCGGCGCGTCGAACATAATATGAGACCGGTTGGTCTGAACTCTATTAAGCTTTGAGGTCTGGGCAATACAGATGACCACAGATGACCTGCCAGCCGTTCTTTATTAGAGTTATTGGAATCTCATTGCGAGTAAGATACACTCTGGTAAAACATGTATTAGTCTCCAGGAATCGTTATGATGACCGTGCTTGTGATGCCCAAGCTGTTTCATGACCAATGCGCTATTCGGGATTGGAGGGTAGGACGAACAGATCGTGAAGGTTAATTTGTCCAGATTGGCAGTAGAGATGTGTGGTGTGTTGTAGGAACACACGCACTCAATCACCACTCGACACTCGACACTCGACACTCGACACTCAACACGGCAACTTCAGTGGGCGTTCGTATGTTCGTAAGATGTTACTGGAAAGGTCTAGGTATCCTGGGTAGATTATACTTTGGGGGCCAGAAAGTTGAAGGATTAGAATTTGGATCCCCCTATTTGTCTTTCGACCATGAGATCCCGTCCGGATTGGAATTCCTATCCACCACGCCATCTCACGCTACTCACGCACTCCTGAGTCCTTACGGAAAGAGAGCGAGGTGCTAGTATTGCTACGATCCGTCCTCCGTCAGCCGTCTCCACATTTTCCACCTTTTCTATGCGTGCGCGCACCAAGAAGTCCATGTAAAGAAATGGATGCAAGTCTAGGAACAACAGCCCCCGAGCCCCCTTATTCATCCGTGCTCTTAACGTTTAGCTACCATAGCCGCCGCATCCTCTTCCTCTTCCTTCTTTCCTCCTTCCATGTCCCGTACGATGTGGTATTCGATGGTGTTTGTATGCTTCTAGAAAGAAAGAAAGAAAATTCTGTGCATGTTCATGCGATGGCATGGCATAATCGATCGATCGCAAGAGAAAGGATGATGACCGTAACCCGTCACTCGTCACCCGGCACCATGGCTACTAGGTATTTTGCACATTGAACATGTACATTGAACATTTAACATGGTACGCATCATGACCAATACAATACAATACAATATAAACCATATTAAAATTTGTACAGAACCTCCGTACACATCCTTCGTATATATCTACTTTTTTTTCATGGCAATTGAAACTTTTGACCGAGGCTCCTCTTCTTCCCCCCCTCCCCCCTTTTTTTCACATATGTATACATATACGATATATACATATATATATATATCCCAATATCTAGGGTGGTAATAAACCTTGAGGTTCTCGAGATTTAACAAATTTATCGAATTCATCAAATTGATCAAATTGATCAAATTTTGCTTTTCATTTACAAAATATAGTGTGACATTATACATTTCTACATGCAGCATTTATTACTACAAAATGACTAGCTCTCACTCCATCCATTCAATTTAATACCTAGAACGACCCAAGACGATATCGGGGAACTAGACAATCTTTTTTTTTATTCCCAGCGGGGCTTTTAATTCATATCCGGTATAGCTTATCCTGGTTAAACATCATTCAATGTTCTTTACCATCCACACCACCCATCCATCCATACCCATCCACATCTACTCGTCTGGTACCAGATCTACAAATGACATTTGACATTCACATTTATTACACTTCTTATTAACATTTATTCACCACCTGCATCCCAAAGTGCTTTGAAATACCATCCGTACCCTCATCCGGCTTTCGATTGTAGTATTTTGTTTTATTTGCTTTATATTTTATATCTTCTTTGCATCGCTGTCCTCACTCTAATAATCCCCTTCAATTGATTCCACATTTGAATGAAATATCTATCATCTAACTAAGCAGTCTCTGCACATTAAAGTTCGGATATCATTATCTGTAATCGGCACTTGTTCAACGGACCTCCCTACTACTTCACTACTTCATAACTCACCAGATGAGATAGTTCACCCACACACTTCCAAGCATCAATTTGATAACATCTGAATTAATTGCCGTCGCTACTCAAGATTCTTTTGATAAGACTCGCATATCATCCTATATCATATCTCTTGCCATTTGCTACCATCTTAGCGTGCAGCGAGGCTGAGGTGTCTCGGGAAGTTGCAGGATAGCAAGTAGCATCGGACAAAGAAGCCATTCTCAACATCATCATCGGAATTTCTGGCAATTCAGAGCTCCATTAACTTTCGCATGCGATGAGGTATGTTCCCCCCCCCCTTTCGCATTTCATGTGCGCCGCCTTGACGTTCTGGTTTTAATCAAGCACGATGTGTCTAGAAGCTCGACCCTCATTAATTACACAAAAGATTGAGGTACATTGCAGTACTCAGATATTGCGAAGATGGACGTGATGGATGATCGAGCGCAACAGCACTCCTACATCAATGGCCCCAGTCTAGGCCAAATTCCCGCTCGAACAGTTCCAATCATTCAACAACCCACTCTACAACCCCCCGCTCCATCTGGCGACGCAATGGATGTTACGCCCCCCGGTAGCGCGATGATGGGACCCCCTTCGAGGACAAGTCCCGATAACGAAGCAAACAGCATTCCAGAACATATGATGGTGGAAGATCAACCTAGCTCAGGCAGCTTGGCGACTCCTAGTGCAGCTGCCGCAGCTGCAGCTGGGGGAGGAATTCAGCCAAAAGTAGTGCAAACTGCATTCATTCACAAATTATACAGGTTGGAGCTCAAGAGAAGCTACTACTAGTCTATAAGTACTGATTGTGTACCAGCATGTTGGAAGATGTTAATATTCGACATCTTATCTCCTGGTCCGCTACCCAGGACAGCTTTGTAATGTCACCATCCAGCGATTTCTCAAAAGTCCTTTCGTAAGTAAACGCACTTTGGGCTGTATCATTTGCTCATGGGTTGTAGACAATACTTCAAACATACCAACATTTCCTCTTTTGTACGCCAGCTGAATATGTACGGATTTCACAAAGGTTAGTTATCCATATCAGTCATCGGTTATTTTCGCTAATAGAAATTCAGTCAGTGATGTCTTCCATCAAAATGCGCCGGAAACGCCGCTATGGGAATTTAAACATGGACAAAACAGCTTCAAGCGCGGAGATGTCGTCGGTTTGAGGGAGATTAGACGACGGGCTTCGCGACAATCTCTCGTTCACCGAGACTCATACTCTGCCCCTAAACCACCGCTTTCGCAACCCGGAACTCCAGGCGAACCAATTCAACCAATTCAGGAATCAACGGAGTCTAGACTGATACAATTGGAACATGGTCTTTTTGATATGCATGCTAAACAGTCGAGAGAAGCCGATAATCAACAATTTTTCCACGTCAGACATCAGGGTATGATGGATATTCTGACTCGTGTCCTACATGTAACTACCAACGGCACCGAAACAAGAAGGAGCCATGACTGATTTTGCGTAGATGAATTATGAGTTGTCTAGGATGATAGCCTCTTTATCTGGTCCAGATTCAGGTTTACATCGCGACGGTATGTATTCCGTGACTACCAAGCCACTTCCTTGATTGTTGACGCATTGTAGTTGCTGCCATGCAAGACGAGATCCAGCGACACATGGGAACCATCAGAGGCATGGAAGAAGTGAGCGAACCCCCAGCCTCAAGTAGTCGACCATATTTCTCGAATCTGCAATTGGACAATCCCCCATCACCTCGCCAAGTACCCCAAGACGACCCTCGTCGCTCGTCATTTCTTGGAGTTCCACCTCGCCAAAATTTCCATCGACCTCCTATTCCGTCGCATTTGTCTCTCTCTGCCCGCAGAGGGTACGGCTCGATTGGAGGTACAGGTACGGGACAATCCTCACCAAGTTCACTGAGAGCCCAAGCGCCACCACCCGCACCCCCACCCCACCCACTCGCTAACGCATCATCACCACCGTCTAATTTGTCACGCCGCCACACTTCTGCTGATATTCGTAACGTAGTCGGATGGCAACCTGCTTCATCCCCTTTCGCGTCAGGTCAATCGTCGTCACACTATCCGTCATCTCCCAAGAGAACAGCAACGCACATGGCCAACGAGGACCAACGAATTCGCGATAGTTTTAGCATGTACTCACTCGCCGGAGCAACACATGGCCACAGCTTATCTCGCCCAACAACTCCTCCATACACCAACGGAAACGCGGCAGAGCATCTAAATAGCTGGTCCTGGGGCGGATCCAAGGATAGAGAAAGACCAGGTCTCTTCAGAGATAATTCAGGGCCCCCTACTCGGCGAGGAAGTATGGCACATATCTTGAATCCAGCCGAAACTGCGGAACGCGCGGAAGAACACGAGGAAGAAATGCTCAGGGAAGAAGATCGCAAAAGAAAGCGTCTTCAATAATTTCGAATACTAATACACTTATTTTGTAAAACTGAACCATATGGGACAAGCGAGGCTATGCCCCTTGAGTTATGTTCTTGGCATTTATCACCTATGTTGGAAAGATCGGATGGATGTCAAGTTCTTGAACTTTAAATTTTTTGTGCAGAAACAGAAATGACATCAAGAAACAGTGTAGAGGAACACGAAGAGGAGGAATTTGGAGACTTGGATCAACTCAAGCTTTTGTTTAATGGCTACGGCAAGCGTCTGTGGAGGATAGTAGTTTGCATTAAAGAATGGACGTTTGGTGTATGCGAGACAAGAAAGAGAGAAGAGACAGATAGTGATGTGGAAAGTAATATGGAAAGTTGGAGATATCACGATGGTTGGGGCCGGTTATGGTTAGCATACATTGGACATGGAGACTAGGTGCAGCATTTCATGCACAACCATGGAAATAAAAGTGTATAACAGCAATGATTGAAAATTCTTACAAACTTATAATTGTCATATTCGTAAAGAAGTGTGTCATTCGATGCATATGTTTGATTTGAGTTAGTTGTTTTTATCGTGTTCTCCGTGCGTGCTATGGTGTTTGAATGATTGCAGCCACTACTAAAATATCTGAAGGTATGGATTTGCATTTTTCGTCAAAGGTTCGATTTGTTATTGTCACAAATGGGAAGCAGTTGCTCCGTACAAGGCTCTAGTAATAGAAGTCATGAGAGCCCTTCTAAAGCGGGGTATATACAAAATTATGTACTGTTATCAAGTCCGGGCTGACATCTCAAGATTGCGCCAGCGTAGAAACACTTTTTTTTTTTTTTTTTTTTTTTTTTTTTTTTTTTAAATTATTGAATGCCCATTCTCATTTCTCGCTACATCTTCGAGACGAGCAAATGAGGAAATGAGGGAATGAGAAAATGAGGGATGAGAAAATGAGGGATGTACAGATTGTGAATGAAACATGTATGGATGTGGAATAAGAGAACTCCGTGTTCCTTTGAGACCTCAATCCTCCTCCAAGTAAGTAAGTAAGTGATTAGGTAGTAACTCCCGAAACTCCTGCGGTTCCGTGCGATATGTCGCATGTAATATATACACAATGCGGACCAAGATTGAATAGATAAAGTAGCAGAAGTCCATATTTCATTCTTTCGCAAAGACTCCGATGCGCTCCGCAACTCCCGAAACTCCGTATTTTCCAAAACTCCATGTTATTTTCCGGAGAATCTATTACTCTTCTCTGCACGCATCGATCTTCTGAGTAAGTTCCGAAAGGCTTTCATGATCCCGAGAGCCAAGTCGTGCTCGCTTTGAACGATGGGATGTTATGATTATCATCGAGCGAGAGCCGCACGATCTTCTGTGCAAAGGTTGCCCAGATACTTTTGGGTTCGTTGAATGTATCCTGTACGAATTTTACACAACCCATATTGGGAACATCGGTTGGAATCGTGTGTTCGTGTAAAACTTGCGCTCCGTGTAGAGAGAAGATCTTGATTCTTGCTTCGACGGCTGTTGTCGAAACGTCATCTGCGGCTGCGATAATGCCAAGCTCAAGGTCTACGTCTAGCCCAATGCTCAGCCGGCCGTTGTTTCGGTAATCGGGGTAATTTAGATAAGCTGTTGTAGGAGCTGTAGTGTTCTTGGTGTGTTTTAATGTGTGTGTGAGATGAGTATTTGGCTTGGTAAATCGTCTATCGTACTGACAAAGATCGGATGCACACCCTGCAACAAGGACGCGGTGTTCGTCGAGAGACCTGATTTCCGCGATGCCGCTTGTGTGTTGAATCTTTGCTATGGGCCCAGATTGGGATGTCCGGAGATCTAAGAGACTAAGAATACCTCTTCGTTCACCCGTTAGGAGGATATCCTTGTGATTTGACTGATACTGCACTGCGAATACATCGCTGTAATACTGGTCCTTTGTGTTGAGGGTTCGAATCCAGGACATATCCATATTTTGATTGATCCGAAGGATGCCTTTGCTCGTACCAATGACAAATGCATCTGGGGAACTTGTAGGCGCTGAGGCTGATGAGAGGACATCGACTGGACCTCGCTTAGTCCCAGGACTGAGGTGAATGTCGGATTTCATGGGATGAGCTGAGGTCATGTTAACCGTGTCCGCATACAATTTACATATTAAGAATAGAAGCCGGACGGTCGGAACAGAGTAATGAATATATTGGCCTTTCAATCTGTACACACGCAAACAAGTTCTGGAATGACTTACGTCGGAGTTCAGGCGGGGGAAAAGGACTAATTACGACTGCTCTAGATGCGGGTACACCTGACCATGTCGTTACAACGTGCCCAATTGACTCATTAGCACTGATAGAAGTAGATTGGCCCGGTGGAAACCCCAGATTGTAGGACCTCTGAAATCTGAAATGAGATCCGAACACATTAGGCACTCGTGGTTTGTCTTTTGCTTTCTTTCCATAGTCGTACGATAGGTGTAGGATTGTATTATTGGCAGCTTAGGAATTGTCAGCTGAGAAGTAGGTTATGAATGAAATTATAATAGCTCTACGCGATGAACGTGACAGTGCGCGCCAAAATAATAGTTTGATTATCAAATTTGTCTTGAGACATAGAAGGAAGCATTCAAGCCTGGACGACCATTTGGTTGCCGAATCCGAATTGAAACACTGAAGATTTAAACTTACCATAAGACATAAGAACTTTGGGATCAGACGCATTAGTATAACCACTCACGTCGAAAAGGTAGGCGCCGCTTGCTCGATTGTCCTGTGGGTAATAATCAACCGCAAACGCCGTGGAGAGACTTTGAGCATAATAAGAAGCAGCAGCAGTGTTCAAGCAAGGCTGTCCGAATTCTCTAGATAGAAAGCCGCCAGCCATAGGGGACTCAAGAATCTTTGCTCTTTTGATACGGCCAACATTCCGCTGAACCCTTAACGATTCGGCTTTGTTGTTCTCGTCGTCAAGCTTGCGTCTCTTCACGTCGTGAGATGAGTATGCAGAACCTGATGGTGCATTTGCCTGTATCTTGAAATACTTTTTCTTTTCGCTATCTAAAAGTAACTTTAGTAATTTGCGCGTCAATCGATATTGTGATAATTAGATGAGGTTGAGGTACCGTAATAGTATCCAGGAAGCTCTGGTACTTGAGAAGTATTGGGCTTCATATTAATAACGTCACCGTATGTATTATGTAGATATCTAGGTAACTTTTGGGTGCTTGTCTGAGAAGTAGACAGGATTTTACATTTGGGATTGTGGAATTTTTGAGTATGTGACGTAGAGTAACGGTAAAAAGGTACCCAGGTATTTAAACCAATTTGGCACGCCCTACGGAGTATCGACGGCAGTAATAACGACGAATAAAAAGTTCTTGTATGTCACGTGATATCACAATTAAAGATTTGGCTCATGGGACTCCAAAAGTGTGAATGTTTTCTGAGACATGGCATGAGGCTTTCTTGGAGCTTTGATGAACCGTGATTGATACTGAATCTTCATTGGAATAGCAAAAAGTATTCGGCTTGACGTCTCCTTGGGGGATAAACATACTCTGTTCAAAGTATATATTCGATTTCGGTGTTCCATTCATCGGCCCTTCCTTTCTTGTTCCACATTTAAGCTACAAGCCCAAACCTAATGCAGCCCCTCCAAAACTTCTCTTTACCTTCCACAAACTAACAACTCGACTCTTGAACTCAAAACATTTGCGAGCCATATACCGTCAACCGCTCATAACAGCCCTGACAGAGCAACATCTTCAAAATGGTTTACACCTTGACCGTTCATCTCTATGCCAACGAGCACCCAGAATCTATACCCCGCATCAAGGCCAAGCTCATTGAAGCCTCCCGAGTCTACAAGCAGGACAAGGAAACTGTTGACTGGATTGTCATGCAAGATGTCCACGACCCTAGAGCATTTACCATTGTAGAGAGATTCGAACAGGAAAGTGTATGTGCAGTAGTCCCATATGCCATATCTCTATCAACATGATACTAATTTATCATTGCAGAGTCAAAAGTACCACCTCGAGAACCCATACTGGAAGACTTTCGACCCATACGTCGTTCCACTCCTTGGAAAACCAATGGATCTCCGAAGACACGAGGAGTTGGATATCAGCAAGGAAGTTGAGGTTCCAGCTTAAAGGATCTACCTAGCATCCAAATCATCAACCATATACGGTCACAAGGACAGCTGGATACATCTCTTGTCTTTGTACTCTAGAACTACTCTTCAGATATTAGAGCTTTCTACTATGAGATGTCAATGCAATAGGACTATTATGTGAGATTCTCTGATTGATATCTCTGGCCCACAGGCTTTGATCGGTGAAGTAATACTGTGAAATCTATAAGAGTGTTAATGTTCTAGTTCTTGGTGCTATGCAAATACCTTTGACTTCTATCCCCAAGCTGAACTATCCTTAGCCTGATGGTTATAGGTAGCTCTGAAAAAAAGGTCAGGTATTATTGTGTCGCTCTGTTTGTCTGTGTTGGCAAATTTGTATTTCTCAGAGAGACCGTAAAGCCAAGCCAAGAAGCATCATCGTGCGAAGTCTTGATTTTGCGTCAACACTTAGTTGTATCTAACATGCCATCGCAACATCACCAAAGACAGACTTTTATAACAATGCCAAGCTGGCTAGAAGGCATAAACAACCTGGTAGATAATACAATAGTTGGTAGTGAGATTGGTGAACTGTCAGCCTTGCATTTATAAGAGCAAGGCTGCATTTCGTTAAGATCAGGTGATCCCCGCATTCGGTGGTTCCTTTCCCTAAGGTTTCTAGATGTATTTGTCGATAACGATAAGGTATTGGCTAACATCAGTGTTATGATTCTCAGCCCTATTGTTCCATGTACATCTGCAAACACCCTTGAATTCGAATTCAACTCTTGAATTCCGCGAATCTCTTTTGCTCCTGCCGTATATCATGGGACCTCGGTATCTCCCTGCAGACCGCGTCTTGATTCTTGCTCCATGGCACCGGCTCCCATGACGCGACAACCGTAAGTCAATAT